AACCTGGAGTTATTTTACCAAAAAAATTAAAAAATTGGAGGGGGTACTCCGACAGGCTTTAAATAATAGCTCTATTTCGTGGGTCACATTTTTAATTTTTTAACCTATTAGATATGCAAACTTTCTAAATCTTTCTATTGTGTTACGTAGCCCCAGTATTAGGCCTTTGATGGTCATTGACAAAATTTTTCTATGTCAAATCGTTTTTGAGTTTTGGGGGTTTTTGTTAAAAAAACGAAAACTGGTCAAAGTTACCCCACCGGTCAAAGTAACCCCATTTTACGGTATGTAGAATAAATGACATTTTCTGTGATTTTTACTTGTTTTTCCTTTATTGATATGATATTACCATATTCATTAATTACCATAATATTGACGTGCTATTACCGTATCCATGAACATGCCATTGAGCATTTACAACAACCTTGTCCACTGCAAACTTCAAATCAGCAGCCTTATAGCATTTCTTCTGTATCTAGAAGCTTACAGGATGGCTTGTAATTTCACACCATTTTAATTGGGTTAAGTGAATTTACTATAAGAAAAAAGATCATGAAAAACATACCTGAAACAGAAAGGAATGTTTTAGTGACAACCATCATATGTTTGGGAGAAATAAATCATAGTTTAGCTCAATTACTTTTCAGTCAGTGATGCCCAGTGCACAATTCTATATATGACATTCTATGCACAATTTCATGATGACCAATGATGCACTAATTTTTTGATACGTGAAATTTTTTCACTGAGCGAGGTAAAGGTAATCAAAATTCTTTGTTGTTAATCAATTTTTTTTGTTAACTGGAGCCTTTGCTAACTGAGGTTCTACTGTAAATGCGTTTTTAAGGGTGTCCCTGGGGGGTGTCCCTTATTACCCCATTGCATGAAAATGGCTGCCATTTTTTTTTTTGGAATGAGATAGGCAAATTTCATCAATCGCGTTTTCAAGCCAACACCTGTGTGCAACTTTTATGCAAGTAAAATTTCTTAATATGGTGAATATTATTTTTGCTCCAGGCCTTAGTAGAGGTACTTTTCCAAAATCTCACTTTTCACACTTTTTTCAATGATTTTTTAGAGATAGTAAATGTTTGATTTCTTGACTAGCTTTATACGTAATAGATAGTAAAAATGTTGAAGTTTACACCACTATTTCTAGTTTTGCAATATTTTGATTAGTTTAGCTGCTACAACATTTCTACAAAATGTGGGACGCGCATCCTGATTTATCCCGCCTGACCCTTATTACCCCGTTTGACGGTAACATTGTACATATAACATAACTAGCAGCTTAGCTGATTCTTATAAGGCTATAAATAGTCTTCAACTATTTGACTATTTGTTATATATTAATTATATTATACAATTTACATGTGTTAGCTATCTCAGGATTGAAATTTTCCTACTTGTTTTTGAAATCTTGCGGCTCCAACATGACGAATTTTTAATACAATTGGCATCTAGCCGCCCAATCGTGCACTTTTGTTTACAATTAGATAGGAGGTAATTCATCTGTCAGAAATCTCGCAGTTCCGGAAATGGTGGGAAAGCTCTGGTCACGGCCCTGCAGGTAGATATGTTGTCCACACTTGAGCTAGCTTATATAAGAAGGGTTGGTTGAGATTGTATTGACCTTTCAGGCATTTAGAAAGATTTTCCTCTCTAATATAAGTATTCTAATTAAAATATTTCATTTCAATCTTTAAATATGTGAATTTATAACTAGAAACAAAACAATTACAATTATAAAACTATATATAAAAAAATTAAATGCAGTGAATGGAAATAAAATGTTTGAATTGTGTACACGTTGATTTAAAACAGTATTAGCTTTTCAGCCTTTTCTCATAGCATAAAGTCTTGTTTCAAGTCGTTTGAGGTTTGTTTGGTTGTCATTCAGTTTATGTTTAGTATTGGTTAATTGGTCTGAATCAAATGAGAACAGTGCAGTCAGTCACTATAGGTACTATATCGGTGTGTTTAGAGGGTAGAGTCTGGTAGATTTATAGGACATAAAACTAGTAGATCAATTGATAGTGTTGTGCACTGTGCTATCAGCTACCTATCTGTTATGTGACTTCAATGTTTAGAACAGTGGTTCCCAAACTTTATCAGGCTGGTGCCTCCCTTGGCTCCCCAGTGAATCTCTAGCGCCCCCCCACTGACAGACATATAAAAACAAATGCCTCTTTCTTGATATTTAGTATGCTGCAATTTTGAAAGAGAAAGGTTAAACACTGGTCTTTCTAGAGGCCTCCAAAGTTCTTTCCACCACCCCCAGGGGGGCAAACCGGGCAATATTGCCCACTTTGGGAACCACTGGTTTAGCAGATCCTCATTCTTGAAGTGCTGTTGTATAATGTATATTGAAGCCAGTTAAATGGTCAATATTTAGCTTGTTACCTTGCTTCATTATTATAGGGTAAACGCGGTATATTCCGACACATTAAGGACGCATCGAGAAATGAAAAACTATAAAAAAAAACGTATGCGTTACGTAAGTTCTGTTGCCTTCACATGACTCTCAAAACACTTCACTACGCCTCAGCAACAATGAAACATCACAAAATGTTGCCATATATATTAAAAAGCCTTTAGAATGGAAACCTACCAAATCCCTATATTCCGTCACTATGTGTGGCAATATTCAACACATGGTGAGTCGTGTTGCGTCAGCGCTTCAAATTTAACTGATACGTATTGCCGACATCCACGTGTTCTAATTCCGTTTGCTGTGTGGGCTGTATTGGGATACAACACGGCTTTGAATTAGAACACTAACGAATATTGAACACTACTTAATTACGTTTTAATTAACAGCTATTAGGCTTTTAATATAAAGGAAAAGCTGGAGAGGTGACGGAATTACCTACGATGTCGGAATATACCGCGTTTACCCTAGCCTCCATACAAACCCCAAAAGTCCCTAAGTGGTAAACACCACCTTGGCCACTCTTGAAGGCAATAACTGCCCTTTTTAGCCATCCATATAAGGTTATTGTTAGTAGGCTAGTTCATAGTGGCAAACCAGAGCTTTTTTTGGAATCAGTTCATTTTTAATTTCCTCAATAACTCAAGATTTAAACCAATTTCTTAAATATGATAATGCTGGTATCCATGATGGTACTTTACTGGTTTACTTATAGCCCGGCCACTCACATTATTATTGAGTTTTTGTATAATCTTTATCTGATTAAATAGACGTGTGAGTTATAGAACTCAAAAATGAACTGGAGGGAGAGTTGTAAAAACTTTCTGCTTTGCCACTATGGTCGCTAGTTGCAGGATAAAAAATTACATTTCAAAAAGACAAAAAAAAAGTGAAAATAAAAAAAAACTTATAAATCAAAAAAATTACCAACCCTGTTTTATAAACTTTGTGAATTATGAATTTATTTTAAATTCAAGAAATTGTTTATTTTCACTTCATTTAGGGTAAACGCGGTATATTCCGACACATTAAGGACGCATCGAGAAATGAAAAACTATAACAAAAAAACGTATGCGTTACGTAAGTTCTGTTGCCTTCACATGACTCTCAAAACACTTCACTACGAGTCAGCAATGATGAAACGTCACAAAATGTTTGCTTTTGCCGGTGAAGGTGTGTTTTACGATCGGTCCATAAAGAAGTGTTGATCGGTTCAAAATGACATAAGAACAGGTTCTTTTGAATAACCTATCGATTGGCACCATGTACTTAAAGGATACCTAATATATTCACAGACATATTTAAAAGTCTCAAACCATAATATTCTTCCTATAAAAACAGTTATTCACTATTTGGTAGAGCCATGTCAACTGTCAAATTTGACACATTTTTCGATGATCTCACCACGTGGCATGCATTGTCTCTCTTTGGATCTCAATATTTTCCCACTAGATGGCCAAAGACCTAGTGTTTTTGCAGTATTTCGACACGCAAATGTATGACATCACCATTTCAACCATCAATGAACACATGGAACTAAAACAAAGCTTAATATAAAGGAAAAGCTGGAGAGGTGACGGAATTACCTACGATGTCGGAATATACCGCGTTTACCCTAAAGCAAAAATAGCTAGCTAGACACTAAAGACAGAAATGTATTTTTTGACATATCATTTCAAAATATAACTTTTAAAATGCTTGCTTTAACTAGTAGGTAGCTACCTAGTTATGAAATATTCTGATTAGGTACTAGCAATTGAGTGACTTGACATGAAGACTGAAACAACTTACCCCCTGATTATTGGACTCCCATAAATAATTGGCAGCACTTTCAGTGAGTGCTTCAGCAGCAAAGGCACCAATTACGATTACTGCAAGGAAACTTGACGTTTTCTTGAACATACCATGGTAGATTTTCTGAACAAAAGACATTTTGGAAATTTGTGTCTTCACTCTTCACTTCAGCACTTGCCGGAGTAAAGTGCGAGTAAGGTTCACAATGTCGTGAAGTTACTGCAATACCACTGTGAGTTCATTTCCTTTTAATAATGAAATTTAAAAGCGCTGCACTTTTTTCATCATACAATGAAAGTTAAAAAAATTAAACTTTTTAGCGTAATTAATGTTAAAAACAAATTTTATAGTGAGTAATAATTTATCGAATCATGTTCACTCCTACGTGTCGAGCGATAAAACTGACATCCACGTGTTATTTTATCAGTAGGCTAAACGAAAGAGAAGGCATTTAGTTTAACGAACATTATCGTAAGCGTCCATCAGTATAGAGACTATTAACCCTCTCATGGTTGTCACTATATAATAGGTCATGCCTTCATCTTCTAAGCATTATTGATCCCTTGTGAATCAAGTCACGAAAAATTCATGAATCGGCAACAGGCCATGGGCCTATTTCTTAAGTGCCGACACTTCTATTCTATTCTATTATTGATCAACTTCAATGCTATAAACATTAATGTGATCTGTACGTAAACCTAGCTCTATCAATCAATCATCACACTGCATTGAATTTACCGATAGATGTAACAAAAGCAAGGTTTAAGAAAAGGAAAGCATTTGAAAACTTTACTGGCATTCAGAATATACCTAAATATGCTCGATTAAAAAAATTATCCTGGTAATTTAATGCAGAAACATAGTAATAGGAAAATATCGAGAAAAATAGGAATTTCGATAACCTAAAAACGAAGTGCTAGTATATACATGGTTCAAAATTGCACAACTTCTTGCGCAGTTGAGTCACAAAGATGTCTCCCAGATAAATTTTATTCAAAATTTATTGCAATTCATGACGGCTTTATACCATGGTTGAACCATGGCTTTATACGGTAAAGTTCAGCGGGTTTACGGATGGTTCATTTAATAGGTTGGGTCCACTTAAAGCTCAGTTCTTTAATAGCATTGTAAATAAGCATAAGATGGAAAGCATTTATCTTGCAAATATTTGATCATTATATAAGCAAACTTATTTATTATTGAGTAAATTCATAATCGTTCAACTGTTACTAGTAACGGAAGAGTGTTGTCGACTCAAGTACAAACTGCGGCTAAACTTTCGTTCGATTGCGCGTTGCAGCAACTCAATGATCGACCGGCTTTCGTGGCGGCAATAGCGTTCATCTTAAAGTTAAGCTAAAAAAAATGAAGCGGTGGGAACTCCACTGAAGTCGCGGCACATTGCAATAAGAACCAAAAGCTTAGCGTAGCACATAAGCTACGATGGTATACTAAAGAGTTCAGGGGTAATAGTGGCAGGAAAATTTATTAAATGATTACTTGTGTTAAGTTTTTTGTCGTTTGTTAATGCGCCGACAGGCGTTTTTGTCGTTTGTTAATGCGCTGGTTCTGGTGGTAGACTAGGATGGGCCATTAGAAGAACGGAGAACAGGTGAGTTCAAGGAAGGTGACAAGATACGCTGCTGCTTACAAGAGACTGTCCCACAGAGGGAGGACGCTGAGGGACATAGGGAAAGACGAGCGTGCTGAAGGGACTGGATGAGTCCCCGCACTCGGGGCAAGCGACGTTTGGCGTGCGCTTCAGCCTAAACTTCTCAGACGCCAGGAAGCTGCCATGGCTCTCGTTGAGCTAAGCCAACGACAGAGACCTCAACGGAGGGCGTCGTCATTGGCATGTCGAGTTTTCAGGACAACAGTAAATACAGTTTGCAGTGTGATTTTTTGAAACTCGTGTAATTTTAAGAAGAAATATTAAATATTCGTTTGCCAGTCTGCCCCTCTAGAGTAACTTCCGAGTAACAAATATATCTCATATCGTTGATTGAAAGAGCAGGAGACTCCACTGATTAATTCACAAGGTTTTTGATAAGCGATATAAAGCGTAAAATTACGGAATAAATGCAATTAGTTTAGGCTGCGTGAAACTTTGTTAGAAGTAGTCCTATGCAAGTAATTTTTCGTGAGAAATAAAAATAGTTGAGAGTTTCAGCAGGAATGGTTACAGGTCAAAAACATTACAAATATTTTCGTCACGCCCAGAAAAATATAGCTGGAAACACTAAAAAATTCGATACATAAAATAAATGCACACTTTTTAATAAATTTAAAACTCTTTGTCGACTATAATAAACTGTACACATTAAACATGAATGTTCTAGCACAACTTCGTCTTCAGCCGCAGACCACTTTTGAGCAGAACAAAAAGTCAGTTTCTGGCTTTCTGCGTCAGGTTTCGAACGAAAATTCATTTAAATGACGCGCTAAATTATCAGAAACATGCCTAAATAATATTTTAACGATTAACGTTAACAAATAATGAATTTATTATTAACGATGATAGTATAAATCAGAAAAATCATCATTGGCTCGAGTCGCTCGAGGCAATCACAATTTAAATAACATCTTTCCCAAAAAACTGATCATGATCTAGTCCCGCAAAGTAACTTACAAGCAATCACAACATCACGCTAACATTAAAACATCGTTGACTCGGTATGTTCTCAGCAGAAACGGCTCGACTTCTCTTGTTGCTAGGGCGATTGCAACGTGAGTGCTAGGACAACTCGGTGCAGGGCTCAGAGCTTCTGAATTATCTCATATTTTTTACGCATATCGATTTCGCTGTGGCGAATGTCCTTCTTCTTCTTCGAGGCAAGATACTCCCGCATTTGGGCTGCGCTCATGTTCATGTTAAGACCCCTGAAAAACAATGAAATAATTAAAATTCATAATTATCAATTTATTAAAATTAAAAAAAACTAATACTATAATGCAGTGAGGCCCGGCGTTGCTCGGGACTGATAAGATAATCCATCAGCTGCCTCATGGTTCTTCACAAGATTATTACGTCTATTGATGTAAAATAGGTTAGAATGGATGGTCTTAGGTTAGAATGGGTAAAGAGGATAGGAATATGTATAAAACACCTCTAGATTTCTTGACTCCGAACACAAAACCAGATTATGAAAAATGTGTGCTAAGTATAATAACTCGAATTTTAAATGTACAATTTATATAGAATGCAGACTCATGTACAAAATACAGGAAGAATATGTAGAAATTTTCATAGAAGAAGAGAATAGTCCGTGAAAAAAAAACGGAAAAATATGATCTGTTTCATCTAAGATTCAATCCTCTTCATTGCAGTCACATGTACAATATTCACCCGACGAAATTTCCGTTCACAAATCTGCTACCTCATAAATGATCGAATAATTTTTCTACCTAAAGCACAATTTCTACCTAAAGCACAATCGTAAGATTTAGTACACGACAAGCAGTACTTATATTTATTCATTTATAATAATTATTATTATTTTTTTAAATGAATGCTTCATCAGATTTCTATCGCGCACCACACACGCCGGTTCCGGCCAATCGTTTCCCCCTACATACATCTCGTCCAGTCCGCTTGCCAAGAGTTTCCTGGTCTTAAATTTCGTCAATGCTCGGTTTGAATGCATGTTTTCTCGATGAATAAGCATTTCTACTACTATTGCGTTACTTTTTAAATACATTTATGATATATTATAGGTAAATTAAAAGCAAATGCTACGACCGTCACTTAATCTCAGAATACAACATATGATCAACTTGCAATTGATGCGCAATTTACAGTTATCAAAATATTTAATCCATTTGTACCATTAAATCGTTCAACAGAAATAAGAAAGCGCAATAAGAATGCAAAACGACCATACACAATGAAGCAATTTCCAAGAAAACCAAAAAAATTTAGATTATAATTCAAAAAAAATCAATCGTACAATAGTTTGGGCATTTGTCAAGGACCTAAGACGATCCGCGACGTTGCAAGACCTGATGAATAATTCAAGACGTCACTTCAAGCGCAGGGCTTCGAGAAAATACTTTCACAATCAAAGCAAGACGCTTGTAGAATTAAAAAAATACATTAGAAACTCTACAAACTTTGAAGGTAATTGACCCGATAATTTAAATAACTGCTGACGAATAAATAACAATTATCTCGGCTAGCCACGTCAAAGTTTTGGAGGATCGTCACCGTGACCTCCATGAGACCACGACGACCATGAGGAACAGGATGCAGAGACGCGAGGCACACGCACGCAAGCCACGCGATTTGTCGATAGAAAATTCGTGATTATTTTTTCTTTTACGTATTAGTCAACATATGTGAGAATTTTGATTAAATTTAGAAGAAAAGATTGATTTAAGTAATCAAGGGAAGTGTGGGCCCATGCATGACTTGTTTAATTTTTATTAAATTTAAATTTTAATTATAATTATTTAAATTTTATTATTTATTTTTATATTATTAAATTAAATTAATTTAATTCACGTTATTAAAGGAAACGATGGCAACAGTACAGCCTAACACGCAGCTTTAAAAACGCAACGGCCCAAATAAGAAACAATAAATTCGAAATTGTCATTTTTCTACTAAAGTTTCACAGAACACAATCCTAGACATCAAAGACAGCATTGCCAAGGCAGAGAACAGAATTCGGAGGCCACAGCTGAAGCCAAGATAATTGGACGAGCCCGGCAGCAACGGACACTTGTGTCGGGCCCGAGTACCTGCCAGACCATGAGGTCTGGTCAGCTAAAATATTCTATTAAATAATATATTAATTATTATTAACGTATTTATTGGAAGTACACTCAGACCCGAGTACCTGTCAGACCCTGAGGTCTGGTCAGCTAAAATATTCTATTAAATAATATATTAATAAGGTATTTATTAGTAGTACACTCAGTTTAACTCAAGGGTCGTATTGTTGAATAAGTTCTTACGCATAATAAGAGCAGAGAGCGGATGTTGCAGTATAAAGGCCACATCAGCGCCGATATCACTACGTTATCACTATGTTATGATACGCTATTTAGCCGGACCCAACTGTTTTGAAATGACCCACACAGGGGCAAAATATAAATAGCAATTTTGACAGTCATTTCTTTGAGTGTAAGATTGTCCTAGAAAACAATCGTTGATGAGCTGCACATTTTTTCAAATTTCCAAGTAATCTGTAACAAATAGGGGAGTGTATCTCGTCAGACAATAAGTGTTCCGAAGAAATAACAGCTCATGAATGAATTCTTTGTTGCTAGTAAATTTTATGCTGCAGAGAGGGATTATGTGCCACGACAGACGGCACGAAAATGCCATTAAGCAAAGAAGTGAAGGGTAATCTAGAGACGCCATATACAAGGTAGTATTGTTGCAACTGTTTTGCCCATAAAGTATTTTGACAATACTTTATGCTCGAAGTAAAAAAAATGTGGTTGTTTAGTAACTGTGCATGTATATAATATTGAGAAAGTTGAAAAAGCACCACGGAGTTCAAATCATCGCAGACTCTTCGCAGTCAAGGATACAACGGTTAACTTCATAAGGCTTGACCTTGAATGGACAGAATAGTAACGTAAGTTTCCTTCATACTCGTTCATCATAGCTTATCACAAAACACATTAACAATCTACTAAAATCTTGAACGATTCTATAACATAATTCAAATCAAAACTCGAAATGAAACATTCATCACTGGAAATGAACATGGAATATTTTTTTTACATGGTGAACGAAGTCCGAAAACTTCACACTCCAAAACAGGTTTCATTTCCAGCAAAAAAATATAAAAAAGAAAACTCAACCAACACATTTCCCAAGCACAGGCAGAGACTAGTTTTTTACCAGCCATCATAGGATCGTATCACTGTCTTTCAGCCATGATCTGGCAACTGGCATTAATGGGAAAAAATGCATGGAGTTTTTTTCCTGTATAAAGCAAATACGACAGAATTACGGTAGAGTTTTTTCGTGCGGAGATGATGACGTTGCGGTCGCTTGTGGCCAGCGGCGCTCCCTGCTATCCGTGTCAGTCGGACTCCTGACCTTGACGCTGCGATGAGGAGCATCTTTGCGCCCCCCACACCAACAGCTTACCTTCCTACCCACCCTTCTGTTACTCCATCCCACACACCCAACTTACAGATAACCTTCCTACCCACCTTCTGTTACTTCATCCTACCCGGCCTTCTGTTACTCCATCCTACCAGCCCTTCTATTACTCCATCCTACCAGCCCTTCTGTTTCCATCCTACCCGGACTTCTGTTACTCCATCCCACACACCCAACCTACTGATAACCATCCCACCAGCACTTCTGTTACTCCATCCTACCAGCCCTCCTGTTTCCATCCAACCAGCCCTTCTATTACTCCATCCTACCAGCCCTTGTTCCCATCCTACCCGGCCTTCTGTTACTCCATCCCACACACCCAACCTACAGATAACCATCCTACCAGCCCTTTTGTTGCTCCATCCTACCCACTCTCCTGTTATTCCATCCTACCCTACCTACTGTCATACCCCCGAAATATTCGCGTTTTCGTTCACTTCCCTCGCATATCTTACCCTATCTTACCGGCTCACCCCATCTTACCGTCATTTCTACCAATTACCTCCATCCTACCGACCATTTAGGAACCACAACCATACCTACCCAAAATACCCCTCCATCCTTCCTACCTTTCTGACTTCCTCCTAATCCAAGCCACTACCCAATCACCTCCCACCCGCCTGACACTGCCATCCTACCCACCCTCATCATGTCCCCATCCTACCTACCTTTCGGACCTCCTCCCCATTCAACCCACTCTCCTTTCGCCCCAGGCCGGCGTAACAGGATAACTAGTATGTGCTCGGCCGCATGCCCTAGTCCTGATTGGTGCTAGGCAAAATGTGCCGCAGTTGCCAGAGATAGTCAGCTATAACCTGAATTTAAATAATTTGTTACGGATTTAGACGTTATTTTATATTAGCCACAAAAGATCAGGATATTAATTATAAAAACAGTATATAAGATAACTTTAATTTTTCTTCTTACTGAGAACGCTGAACGGAGCGAATATTTTGAATTATTTTGAAGTTTTCCTCAAAATCTATACCTATCTAATCTTATGCCAACTTTTTATAAACAATTCTTTTCCTCTTCGTGTTGAGCCACAGGAGTGACGGAAGAATTCAAATGTTCTGAAATTTAGCAATGCATATTTCCATAAAATCGGTTTCAGTTTTAAATTTGTTTCACTTTATAATTTAATCAACACCCCTGCTGGCTCAGATTTAAAAAATTACCTGAGCTGTAGTAAGTAATTTTTCTGATATAAGTTATGTGTCATAATCAATTGACGTCTGTTTGAACCAAATTGTTAACCCAATGGTGACTGCATTCCAGGACGTAAACTCTTCACTCAGGCCCTTAGTAACTACAAAAAATTGAGCTAACCTTATACTTGGTTTTAAAATGCCAGACACATCACATCGCATCATTTATATTCAAAACGTCTAACGTGTTGGGTGTGATCGATTGACTGAAAAGGTTTTGTAAAAAAAATTAATCCCTCGAGTTTGAGGTAAGCATTCACGTTTATTGAACCATGTTGTGAAAAATTTATTTCATTATTATGTCAATTCGTCCCGAAAAGCCAGATGTTCTGGGAGTATAAATAAAATCAAATCAAGGCACAGTAGGTGCTACTTTCTCTTACGAAAATCTCGGTGAAAGAGAAAGTCGTCTTTGCGATCTCTTTAGGGTAAAAAGCTTTGCAGTGACTGTAAAAACTTAAAGAGTAAAAACACATGAGCCGCCACAAACTGGCTTGCAGAACCGATGAGTTGGCTACCTAGTGCTGTATGCAATCGAGTAAGACAGCTCCAGAACTGAGACTAGCGAAAGAAAATATTCAAATTAAATATTTATATTAGTTAGCAGCCCAAAAAACAAACACAAAAACCACTTTTATGATTAGTATATCCTCGACTTGCTACTGTTGCATAGTTTCGAAATTGTCTAGCAGCTGCATGCTTGCGCTTAGAGGCGTTATACAATTCAGGAGAAACTGTTTTTCAAACAGCACGTTACGTAAGGCATCTTAGCCATAATAATAGTTAAGAAGAAGCTTACCCTGTATTCTTGAAGGTGTACGCGGGTGTGGGTGTGGGAGACGGCGTCCCAGCCGAGGATCGGGGACTGGGTGAGCTGGGCACCGGAGACTGCAAACATAGACACACATGAAGACACAGACACACATGAAGACAAAACAACTCTTCAGTACGTGGATAATCTTGAAAACAATATTTAAAAAGTCATTACATTGACAGATTGACAGATATGGTCGGACGCAAAATCAACAGAATTTTATTGTGATACTTTGGGAGAATGTTTAATGATGTGATTTCAAATTCAGACTTCTTAAGTTGAGCATAAATGAGTGGCCCGTGCCATAATCTGAACACTCAATAAAAAACACCCGGTAAGTAACAATAAAATTTGAACACAATATCAGAGGAAATAAAGCTTGATTTATGCACAAACTGATCTGAACGCAATTGTTTCATACGAATCGACCACATATGAATGTTGATTGTTGATTTACATAAATAAGCCACATGAGAGACAACTTTTAAATAACATATAAAGCAAAACAGACATTTAGTTATAAAACCAACATTTATAACACAATACATGCGGGATTTTATTTCTTAAAGAAAAACAAATGATAATTTGATAATTTGTAAATTGCAACACATCCAAAATCTCAAATTCAACAAAATTCAATCTTACGAAAATTATATCGGGAATGACGGAAATTTATACGAGAGAAAAATATTCACAGTAAATTATTCTAGAAATCGATTCATTTGGAATAGAAAGAAAATCAATGATAAGCAAGATAGAAAAAAAGGAAAGTTTAATCCCTTTAAAAATTGTACCACATGCTGTTTAAAAATTTGAAAGCCTATTAACATATTTTTATGTCACCAAGCAAATTAAAACAATCGACAATATAATGGAATGATATGCGCTTAAATTAATATGTACAATGTACGCGAGCTGGCATATACAGCAGTGAGCAACTAAAGAATATGTAACTATAAACAATACCCTTGGCATGGGCTCCTGGAATCAACGTTCAATTTTATCACACAAAGCAACAATCAAATCAAAGCAACATCTCAAAAACATTATCTAGTAAAATATCCCAAACTTTAAAGAGCAATGATCCATAGAATCGAAGATTGTACGCGAATGATTTGATAATGAAATTATGAAACACGATTTCAATGAACACATCAATGCAATCATTGAGGTACACTTCATAGGTGGAGCGGCACACAAATAAGTGTGAACACAACCTGTTCAGTGTTCACTGTCATGATGATGTACCTTTGATGTCATCTATGATGTCTCTATGATGATACATCATAGATACAAGTCATCATATCATAGTCATCTTTATTTTCATGATCATAGCAAAAATAGTGTCGGCTTTTGTCTAAGAAAGAACAGTAATAGCAAACATATGCGGAAGAAATCACGCAAGCAAAGATGTTTAGTTTATGTTAATAATAAATAAGGTATATAGCAATGCCACGAATAAAAATGTAAAAAACAATACCCCACAGTAAATTATCATGCAGGCAAAAATTTAATTGAGAACCAAGGCCACATACAAAACTTGGAGACGACGGGACACATTACTAGTATATTATTCAACGCAGACAAATAGAGAAAGTGTCACGTGAAGCATCTCTGCTCTAGCAAACACTAGAGATTAATAGGACTCTATTGATGTGCATCAAACACTCTAGAATGAAGATGGTACTAGCATCATTATTTCTAGATCGATTCCTTCTAAGTTGGTCACTCTGAAGATGAATATCTGAAATTTATTTTCGCAAGGTTCCAATAATTTCAGAAGAACGTCGCTTTTGAAAAATGTGATGAAACTAAATGCAACCAATACGGGTGCAATTCGAAAACATCAAATTTAATACTTCTACATTTTATTTTGACAATTAATTAAATATTTGAACAGCAAAATATAAATTATTAAGAATTTCCAGTAGAAATTTTCAAGGCAATTTATTAATCGACAACTGTGATCGGTTCGAGTCAATTTAAACATCAAGATGGATTTCTTCGGGAGCTTCATCCTGCACAAACATGTCTTTAGCACACAGAAGAATTATAATTAATAAGGTCACGAACATCATATTATAATGATATTTATTTCTTGCATGTCGCGTTTATAAAGGTTAAGGTTGAATGAGCTTTGTTGTGGAATTGAATGGACCTTTCATTCAATGCTACAGCAAACACATACATGCACGACGTATTGATTAGCGATACACAATCAGGGCATTAAAATTAGGAAAATGCATGCAAAACAATGTGAAAACATGTATACTTTCTAATAAAAATTTAGTAAAAGTAATCACACAAGGACGATACACTGAGCTTATACAAATTCCCACATATGAATATATTTAATATAGGTCAATGACATGGCATTACTAATGGGATTTCTTAATACCTTTATTCTCATCACTATAATTAATCTTATAAATAAGATCACATAACCATTTTCGATCATTGGGAGGTGAAGCGAGAAGCTTCCGAGAAAGAGCGTTGTAAGAAGAGGCAGTACAAGCGTTTAGTTAAGGTCCTGTTGAATGTTAAATAATATGCGTGTTCAACTTCGTACATGCGGTGTAACACGATCGCGCCGCTGTTTTTTTTTGTGTATCTGAAAGCATAAGCAAGACTCAACAAGCGGTCCCAAGGGTGGTTCAATCACGATGCACATTCTTTGCTGCCTCCTTCGTTCAGCACGGTATCCAACGAAGCAAGTAATCCATGTGTACTACTGACGTGCCAGGTGCCAACCTCTGTACAGTCTCCCAGTTGACACAGAAAACAAACACAGATAATTACAAGTAACTTAATCTTACAAAGACATTTTTTATAGAACTAAAAGTAATTACATAGTTGTAGCGCGAAGGATGTAGAATTGACACCATTATTTAGTGTACATTGGAATTGAAGCGGAAGCAGGATGTGTAGAAGATTTATTGATATTCGAAGCAATCAAGTAGATTAACTGGGGCAAAAGCGGACGAATTTCATCCCTCAGATGCAAACCTTGCTGGTCACGGGGGTGGGGGCTTTGGGGGCTGTTTTCACTGATTCGCGCGACGACTCCGAGGAGCTGGAATTGGACCTTGAAGATTTACCATTCACGGAATCGGAGGACTTGACTGCGACCGCCGCCACTTTCTCTGCAGGCTTCTGAGTCTCTTCCGTCGTTGTTTTCTTGGTGTCATCGTCAGAGTCACCTGCAGCATCGTCCTCTTCATCTTCTTCCTCATCGGAACTGCTAGATTCGTCGTCCGTTTCTGAAGTTTTCTTCGTGTCTTGGATGGCTTCACCCTTACTCTGCTCGAGATCATTGTGGACTTGAACTTTTTCTACCTCTTCCTCAACTTGCTTGCCGTTGACAAGTACCTTAACTGTGGCTGGTTTCTCAGCAGCTTCGTCGTTGTCTTCAGAAGACGAAGAACTATCGTCTTCGTCATCCTGCTTCGCAGCCACAGGTCCAGAAACGTTGCCCGCAAGTGGTTCTTCATCGTCATCATCATCAGAAGATGAAGAGTCTTCGTCCTTATTAGGAGAATCAATCTTTAGAACACCTTGGTAAACATCACCGAAATTAGACTCGCCATGGAAGCAAACATTATCATACTCGGCCATGGGGTCATATGGGCTCATGTCAGATCGTGGAACATGGTAGGAGTCGTCGTTAGAGTCGTGGTCATGGATGTCATTGCGTCGAGCAGTGCAGTCATGACAGTTGGGTGGAACAGGTTGGTCCTTGGGTCGTCTGCATCCTAAACTCACCTGAACGTCAGCGAGGGAAAGTATCAAAAAGTCAAATTCAGTTACCAAAATTTACAAGTAAAATAAGATTTATTTAAGGTCACAGTCCTGAATAATTTGATGAACAAATTCTAGTAAAATCTAAACATAAATTTTACGCTTAATTTTTATATTAAACTGGTTTTTATTGAAAAATTCGTTCTGGTAGAATTATGAAAATATCCGTCTGTCCGATGATTTTTGAAATTTTTAACTCCTGCTATTTTCAGTGCCTCGAATAGAAATTAAACTAACGTGAGAATGTAACAATAAATGATTTGAATAAACAATTATTATTATTATTATTATTATTACAATACAGAATTATCTGAAATTTCCCGAATCTCGAGAACATGAGCTTTGGCATGACAAAGTCCGCCTGCATGTTAAAACGAGCTGTCAGCCACATGACATGCAGAAGCACGTTGCTGATAGTGTTGCTGTATCATCCAGCTAAACAAAGTTGGTCATAACAACCTGATGAACGACCGCGCATAAATTGTTCTAGAACAACACGTCGGTCGTGTGTACGTGTGTGTGTCAGTGTTGTTGAAGATCAACACTGAAACCAGGGCCATTGAGGCCATTGCAGCGGCATCGTTCAAGCTCACGATGTGATTACGAAACGTTCAGGGAGGAATAAAGCTGAGATATTTCATTACGTGGGTATTATAAAAAAGCCAAGCTATCAATCCTGACTTGAACATGTGGTCTGAGGACATATCGTGCTAGAAAATTATTTGTACAGTTTTTTAGAAGTTTAGATCATTCCATTTTCCCAATTTTGGTCAAAAAACACTGAGCAAATTATGAGCTGCATTTTTAATTTTGAAATGTACTCAGTACACAATGACGCCTCATATCATTGCAATTGTTGTATGCGTAATCACAATTCATTATTGTTCCATCACTTCATTTTAATAGTGATCTCTTCTGTACCACTACACGTGGCGAAGCTAACAGCTCACGTTAAAGCATTGCGACCACCGAACTGCAGAAAGCTTTGGAATTTATCTCCGAAAATTCTTAAGTAACTCTGATCGTTTGAGTAGAGAAAAATTCCTCAACTAAGCCAGCAAGACGACAATTGAGGTTCCCTCGTCGAGGAACGTAAGAATGAAGTCATCGCCGCAAACACGAGTATAACGTCAATGTCGGGACGCGCGCAGCCGCGCATGCGTACAAGACAAGTTCGTGGCAGCGATAGGTGGTCCCTGAGTGACGTCAGAGCTTGTCCATTTCTTGGAATATCTGATGATTGTTGGTCTATAGTGATTGTTGACTCTATATCTGATGATTGTTGACTCTATACAGACGAGACTGCTGGTCTATACAGGCAAGCGCTGGGCTGTATAGACCAACTAGGGAAGATCGGCTGTACCATTTATAATTATTAGATCATCAAGTACAACTTAGCTTGGTTCCCATATAGGAAAACGCAATGACCACAACTGAAGAATTATTTGCTCCCTTCGAGTTGAAACCGTCAAAATAAGAACATATCATGAGGATTTTTCATCTTTAAACATGTTAATAGTAGGTATAGGAGTACCGAACCCTCAAGGATATAAACTCCTAGTCCTCATGAGGAACTCAGGCGTCTCCATAGCAAAATATATCAAAATATAGCATTTCACGCCGAATGAGAGGCTTGACACTGAATAAGGTTTCGCTAGATTTTATTCTTATGTTAATATATCAGCAACAAATTATTAGCCATTAATGCAAGACATCATGTTAACAAAAATAATAATCATCCGTGCATTTGCGGCTCTATTTTCTAATATTTAAGTAGTGAGAAATTTTTTCAGAGGGCTGCAATGCGTACGAAATGAAGGTATCAATGTAGGAAAGTTTCGTGCATTTTATCAGTCAGTGGTACATGTAGCACTCAATTCGTAGGAACTAAATTAGGCTCAAAATTACGTTTCTCTACATTAATTTCTAAGCTATATATATAGTGTATAAGTAAATTTATAAAATAATAAATCTGAATGGAACACTTTCTTTAACGTAAAATTCTTATCCTGGAGCGCAACGCAGTATGATTTTTCTCAATTAGAACAGTGAATAAATTGACGTGTCATCGCGATTGGCAAGATTGTACGTAAAAACTTCCGCATACGATTGCACGTAAAAAGTTCCATATAAAATCAGTCATGCGGACAAGACAACAAAACATTGCATTGCGACTCCTCTATACCGTCGTCACAAATGTTGACCGAACACGTAAAACACAATATCTGAATGCGGAAGATTCCCATCACCAAACGTCAATCGTGTTTTGGGTTTCCTTGAGACAGGCGAGCTATCGAACTATGAGCTTGCGTCACGACGACGTCTAACCAAGCGGGAGTCGAACAATGAAGCCTTTTGACGCATCAGCAACACCTTCAATCTTAAATTCAATTTTCTGTTTACTGAAAATTCTTGCTATGCGTGCATTAGACTAAACGAAATCTCAGGTTGGAATAACTCGATGTGGCATATACGACGTCTGTTGTCCGTTGTTCCTGGCTTCACGATTTATGCATGCATTTAAAGTAGGTCTATAATAGCGCATACGATTTCATGAATATTAATTGGTGAAATACTTGTTATACTTTCTTAGGAATTATCAATTTGCTTGCGAAATTTCACAAGGGCGCAAAAATTTATTGCTCATAAAAGAGATTGATATATGAGCCGACACGTACGATGACCAGCAAGACAGCTCCGTGGAATAAATCATATATCTTCGACGTGACGATAAGACAAAATATCAATGATTATCTCTGGGAATCTGTTCAAAGTAGAGGGCAATTTAGTAGCAATAAATCATTGCAGAATTACTCTTGTGGCCACTATGATAACTTTTTAAAAGAGCTTAACGGGGTTCAAGAATTCCAATCAATCGTTTGTTTGAAATCGTCTACATTACGGACAACTTGCATAAAAGAAAAACTTCTGCCTAACTATACTAATTACGGACAAAGTGGCTTTTTAGTTCATAAACAGAAAGTTCACCAATTTTTCTGCAGTTCAAAAACAAAGTCAATTTCCATCGGCCGTAGAGAGCTAAACAAAAACGCTACAAATTTCACTCTACGAGCCAGAAACAATAACATGTGGAGGTCAAAAAGGTATGTGAATATATAGACGCTATAATAATACGTTTACGTCAATGCGTTTATCTTATCGTAAGCTATAAGATTACCTGTCAGTCTCTTCTGTTATCGCACAGTTAATTCTGGCGTCTATTTGCTCATAGTATTTCTGTACGGAATTTAGTAAGCTCGGAAAACATTCATGACTTGTTCAACAACTTCAAAACGATAACGAGAATATTCCGTGTCGAATAAAGATCAACTGCGATTCAAATTTCGTTAAAAAATTTCATGTTACTTTTCGAAATATTTATCCTTTAATCCCCCTAGTAAAAAGCCATGCTTTCGGAAGCTAGTTCGACTAGCTAGTAAATGGAATACACTTATTTAGTTACGCTAGAACGAAACGAACAATCCTTAACCTCCCAAAAAGTCAAAACTTCAGTGGCAGAAGTTCCGTCCGTTTAAAGTCCGACGATTGATGTACATGCCTCTGATATAGCAGCCACGCGAACATGAATGATGAATGTGAATAGCCAAAAACAAAACAGCAGCCACTCACAAAACTGTAGAGCAGCCACTCACAAAACTGCAGAGCAGCCACTCACAAAACAGCAGAGCAGCCACTCACAAAACTTCAGAGCAGCCACTCACAAAACAGCAGAGCAGCCACTCACAAAACCGCAGAGCAGCCACTCACAAAACAGCAGAGCAGCCACTCACAAAACAGCAGAGCAGACACACAAAAAGCTCAGCGAACAGTACCCGCGTATGTATGTACACAACAATTAGAGATGTGCTGTACAGATGATATCAGCTGTAACACAACACGTACGGTGAGACACGTAACAACTGCAGAGCGTCACGTGACAATAGTGTGCGAGTCACACAGAGCTACAGAGCTATGACAATTACCTCGCCAATTGCCTTTTCACGCTCGTTAATTACGACTTACAGACCAAAACATTGTGACCTCCAGTTGTATTATAACGCAAGTGGATTTTTCATTTTTAATGGACTAAAGTGAACATACTCACGTTTTTATACATTTTTAAAGTGTATATATATATATATATATGGTCTACTAAAGTGTTTATACACTCAAGTGTTTATAACCAAGTCTTTATATACACTCAATAGTCAACGGTAAGCAAAATTGGCACTAGATCATTCTCACGAACAGAACGGCTAATTTGGTTCTCAAGTTCCCATATGCACAAATACTTTCACTAATACTTTCAGAAATTATTTTTAACTTCACAGCCTCTAGCATTTCGTCTTAGTACGTTGTTCTTATAGATGTATTCTGGCGACCAGCATATGATCGGAGAAAATGAAAACAACTTCAAACCAATAAAAACAGTGAAAAATGTGAACACGAAAGTTTACTTCAAGCAATATACTGCGTTAACTTATAATCAACATAAAGATCAGCAAATAATGCTCTGAAAATCTGTTGAAGCATGAACTTTGTACATCTTATGATATTAAGCCTATAGTTTTGCTACACAAATTTGTCTATAAGTTGTCTCGCTATACAAAAGAAAAACCACTCAATAATAACTTCGCAAATCTTAATCAATTTCACGCTTAAGAAATCGTTGTTGCCCGAACGACTCCAAGAATATTTACGATGACACACAACATCCAGAGTTGCCCCCTTACTGTAACCGCCCCATCACTGTAACCGCCCCATCCAGAGTTGCCCCATCACTGTAACCGTCCCATCCAGAGTTGCCCCATCACTGTAACCGTCCCATCCAGAGTTGTCCCCTCGCTGTAACCGCCCCATCCAGAGTTGCCCCATCACTGTAACCGCCCCATCCAGAGTTGCCCCCTCACTGTAATCGCCCCATCCAGAGTTGCCTCCTCACTGTAACCGCCCCATCCAGAGTTGCCTCCTCACTGTAACCGCCCCATCCAGAGTTGCCTCCTCACTTTAACCGCCCCATCCAGAGTTGCCTCCTCACTGTAAACGCCCTTGCAGAGTTGCCTCCTCACTGTAACCGCCCCATCCAGAGTTGCCTCCTCACTGTAAACGCCCTTGCAGAGTTGCCACTACTGCAACCATCCTTGCAGAGTTGTCACTCTATTGTGCATCATCATTGCCACCATCATCATTACGTTCACTCAGCTCACAGCCCAATTCAGAACGAGGGCAAATCATCTACAGTTGAAGCGCAGTCATGAATTTTTGTCCCATAACTCAAAAAAATATAACTCAGTACTCACGGCAGTGAGTGACAGAGATCGCATTTTCTCGTCGACGAAAACTTGAGGTCACGGACGGATGGACAGACAGACAGACGGATATGGCAAGCACAATAGTGCATTTTTCCATAAATGAGAAAATGCGCTAAAAATGGAGTAAAAGCGGGAATTTTCACCCTATGGAGGCGGTGTGAAGCAGGGCGAGGATGCGTCTCCTGCAGACGGGTCGCCTGCAACCGCTGCTGCTGCAGCAACACGTGAGGCTGACTTCGGCGACACGCGTTCGCGCCATGAGGCTGCATTCCCAACAAAATCTTACGTTTATCTTAAGAGTTATGAAGATCGTAAGGTTAAGCTTTGAATTGTGATAGACTAGTGAACAGTTAAGGAGTGAATTCTTTTATTGATGGTTCCTTCAATAACGCAATGTACATATAGCCATGGTGCTATATAGGCAACCTCTACAAGCTCCTACTAAACTATTCCTACTAAACTATACGAATGTTCTGTGCTTTTGCGTTTAACGCAGCGTAATAAACCTTTGATATAGTACTGATATGTTCCGTTTTGTGTTATAATCTTCAGCCATTCGTAAATAATGTCTCAATTTTTGGGAGCTCAATGAAGAGTTTTGATACGCCTCTTATATGTGACTTTGTTCGACCAAAATGAAATCTATCCGCATTTCTTAAGTTGCCCAAAATAGGTTTTATTGAACTGTTGCACTCGTAAATTAATAAAAATACACTGCGTTTTCTTTCCTAACAAGATCGCTTATGGTAAAAAGTCCACAATAAATTTTAGATTTTTAACTTTTCAAGCAAAAATTGCACTATTCCTTGCGAGAATCATAGCAGCCTAAAAAATTCAGAATGATTGAAAATAATTTCATCCATTTCCATAGAAAATTTCGATCATTCATATCATTATTTTTTTGCGCAATTTGAACTCATCAAACAAAGCAACAGGCATCATTCCCTTCTCATTCACAACAAACATGTACTGGAATGCAACAGTTGCGCTCAAACCGAATACTTGCAAATTCCGATGATAGCAACACATTAGCAGGCTGTGCGGGACTACTGAATATGAAAGATATTGCTAAGAATAAAATTTGAGAGCCATGCTACATCAGTAACTAGTGATGGCGACTGGACCATCATCTTTCCGAACATACAAGCAAGTACTAAGCGACAGTACCTATCGAGTTTGTTTTGGAGTTAACATTGATTCGGTCTGCTTTCAACATAAATCGGGAAATTTTAAGGTTAATAATTAGCTGGATCCTGACTGTGATAGCACCAGCATATCTTAATGGAGTCACACAAATCGTCATCTGCATTTATCGACACAGAAAAGTTGGAATATCGGAAATAATGACTTTCTTGTCAAACATGAACAGCAGACCAAGGAATTTTTTAGTCGTGAACACGAGATAAATTCAAAGTTGCGCAGTTAAAAAAAACACCAGGATTACCAGGCATTAGAAGAGGTAAACCGACGTAATATTAACTACATTCACAAGAAGTTTTCGTTAGTCTCGTTAACATTGTAATAGTTAGCAGAAGTCGAGTCAATAACCTGTAAAGTAATGTGAAGATCAGTATTAGGAAGCCAAAAATCAGAATTATAAAAGGTATTTGTGATTAGGCGTGTGTAATACTGGATGAAAAATAGTGCATCGGACACCTAAACCAAGAAGAAGGTAGAAATTATTCGGAAAATGTTACTTGTGCAATTATATGTTATTTGAGTTTGTAAAATATGATATGCACCAAATGGTGAAGTAATGAAAGAAAAAATTATCCTGCGGTAGCTTGTTCTATTTCAAATAAACTTCAAAAAATAAACAACCGATGTAGGATTGAGTTCGCTGAAGCGGTGTTTCACGAGCTGTATATACGCTTCTCACGAGTTACCCCTCCAGCCTCAACAAGTTGCGTGGATGCAGGGAGCTGATGTGAATGTGTGCTAAAGCGACGCCCGACTTACTGGGCCGCAGGTTCGGGAATTTCCCCATGCGCGTACTATCGCTTTCCTATCATGATATCTTCGCTGTAAAAATAAATTCCTCATAAAGCTAAGATAAACGTAGCCAATTTTAGGACAATTGTTTCCTCATGGGCAGAGTAAGAGATGAGGTTTCTGTGCCTATAGCGGCAGCAGCTGCGAGTCCCACAGCCTACCTGTCTGTTGGAAGCTTCGCTGGTCCCTCCTGAGGAAGCCGAAGCCACTGACCGTCTGTCCTCTTGCTTGGTGTCCTTTACGTCCGTTTCAGAGCTGCTCGTCGACTCACGCCGACTGAAGGTTTAAATCACAAAATGTCTATTGCATGTTGTTAAAAATGAAAACTTTATTGACAAAATACAGAGCCAGAAGCAAGCTAAAGATGCTATAAACGTTTCCGTAAAGATACTATAAACTTTTGTGGAAATTTGCTTGCTGTTAAATTTCTTGTTAATTTGAGATTCAAGCAAACGAGTGACATTAAGCTATATCCTACCGCAGTCATGCAAGCCCAGGAAAAACACCAAAATTTTTTCACGAAGTTCAAGACCCACTATAAAGTTTACGGTCGCATCAGCTCTTATTTATTAACCAAAATTAGGTTGAACGTTGCTGAATAGAGCTAGTATTGTAGTTATTTACCTGCTTGAAGAATATCCTTTGATGATCTCAGGAAGGCTGTCGTTGATGACGATGTCGTGGTCGTGGTACCACTTGTCTGCTTGTTCGTCCACGACGAGCAGCTTCGTCTCGTCTGGCACCATCTTGATGCGGCTCACCACCTGCCAGCGAGAAACAAGGTTCCCAAATATATTTTTTATTTGTCTGTAAATACGTACTTGAGGGTAAATTGTAACGGTATTTAATGGTAAACTAAAGGTTTATTAAATTCGGACACGAAATAACAGATTCTTCTTATTGTCTTAGTAAAGACCGAGGGGAAATGAACAGTATTACTATTAAGTTCTCTGAGTAAAAGCCGACACGAAACAACAGCTGAAGGAAAATGCAATATTTATATCATGCTAAAGTATTAGCTATTTTCAAACGTTTCTATGCTCGATGCTGGATACCGCATAAATAAACGTACACGTATAATTGAAATTTCTTCAAGATTATACCTTTTATAATCTTCAGAATGTTGCAGAATTTTACTAATAGGTTAGCAGTTTATATTTGAGTGTTTTCTCGAATTTATTAAAAACATAAATTACCCAACTAGATAAAACCAACAATTGAGTATGAACAAGGATCGTAATGTACTAGATGAAACATTCGAAAACCCGAATATTAGAGCCTAATGGTATAATTACAGTTCTTGTCCAAGAACTCTGATGAATTGGTTAAAATTGTTTGTTTTTGTTCAAAGTCAACTCAATTACAACACGAACATTTAAAAGGGCAGTTATGTCCATTGCATAATACACAGTCGGTTGACGGAGCGCTTGCTTTAGATTGACAAACAATGGGAGGCAACTTGTACACAACCGCACGCAACATTTTCACACTTTCCAAGGACAATGGCGGCGGGAAATAAAAAACTATAAATATCAACAAGGAGCGAATGTAATCAGTGAGAGCCGATCTGCCGTGATGTATGTAAGTCTGAGGTACAGAGGAGTAACGAACGTAACGCTTCTTCAGGCTTGCTAAGTTGATGCAATCGTTTCCTGAAAGCCGGCATACGACTTGAGTCTCAAGTACCGGCTGGAGAAGCAGAACGTTGTGCGTGCGCTAAGCGGCAACAGTTCCAACACTCATTTTAATTAAACTTCTTGATGCACAAGCGAGCACCATAAATAACTTAATTGCATTTCGGTCAATTAATTGGGAAATTAAATCACACGTAAATGATGAAAATGAGGGATTTCAAAGCTACTATAAAGGTCGGACTGATTAGAATAAAGGTTGGCCTTCGAGACGTTCATACGCTGATGATCTCATTAGAAGCATACGCCCTGTTTAGAGCTAGTAACCATCGCGGGTGACGCCATGTACATTGTACGTGTTGCGTGACGTCGTGCACGTTGCACGTGCTGCATGACAGCATGATCGAACACCATCCGACTAGATAAGAAGACTACAAAGACCTAAAAAATTCTTTTATTGTGACTGAGCAAACACGCAACACATGTCAATTGCGCCTAAATGAGATTTCAGATATTACCAAAACCCATACACAATTGTACATATGTGTTAATATACAGGTAGGATATATAACACTGTGAATCGTATGTGGGGCAGCACGCAAAACAGAAGGTATACCGACACGAAAAAACGAAAAGATTATACACGAAAGGATAAAAACATTTGCTAAATATAAAGAATTCTACGCCTGAGAGAAATATTGCTGGAAGTATCTATTCCGGCAACATCGGGCTAATCTGATAACATTTAATAACTGAATTGCTTCAACCCTGTAAAATATTAACGAAGCAACCTGTCAATGAAGGCTGTAATTTACCGGGGCAAGAACCATTAAGTATCAGAGGTCAGAAACCATCATTGTATATCTTGAGACGTCTTCTTGCAGACTTCAGTTTCTTGGCAAGAATTCCTCTCACATTGCATGGTTCACAACGTTGGGCATTGTTCTTCAAATATTTATCTAAATATTTTCAACTTCCTGGAGAATTTCTCTACATTGAGCTGTCACAGCAACTGTCAAACAATTCAGTATTCCCAGTAAATAAAACGCTTCAGGCTCAGAATATATTGGAAATTCAAGCTTCCAATAACTTTCGAGACTTATTTAACAATTCACAATACAAAAGAGCAGGGGAATAACTATCGTTTATTAGAAGGGGAATAGAGTTTAGAGTCGAGAGGTACAGCTTGGTCAACATTTGCTTGATTTTTTTTTTATTTTACAATTGCAAAAATCCCGCTGAATCACAGTAGATATAATAACAGCAATACGATAATGCTTCAACGCCAAACGTAAATCTTATGATTACATGGGCTTAAATTTTTTCTTTGTTATTCTCATGCTGAACTTGGAAGTTCTTATCTGGTCGTTCTTCGCCGAGTTCACATGGAACGTCAGTGAAAGCAACAGAAACAAACAATTCCTCGGATGTTTTCCAGCCGACAGTGAATGGGAATTTCCAAGAATAAAAACTAAAAAGAAAAATTTCGAAGTGGATTGCCTCACCGACTAAATAATTACATACGCAAAGCTTGAGCAGGAAATACCATCGCATTCCGAGGAAACTCGCCCTTGAGCATAGGATTCGTCAATGACACATCTGGGCTTGTGAGAAATAAAATGTAAACATGCATATGCCTTCATGGAATCCATTTAAACCACTACCAGTAGAAACGATTAGACAAGTTCCGATACGAGACCTATGACGGAGGTCCATTGAACTCAATTGTCGAGGAGAGCTTTTTCAACTTAACAATCAATATGCTTGGAAATAAACTCTTGGATACAATTAAAATACGAGAACAGAATTTTCACATTTGCGACACATACGCGAATAGGCACAATAATACAATGCAAAAGACCATATGCAAGCTACATATTTCACAAAACTCAAGAAATGTGTCAATTTTAACACTCAGCAGTGGTTTTAATAATTTCAGGTAAGTGGATGTAGTCGTCTCTGAATACGGCAGAACAGACGGTATTCCAGAGAATAAACAGCATGCAATTTGCCGGAAAGTTGACGTTTGCAAAGTTCATGGCCTGGCGCCGTACAGGTAATGGTCATAATACACGCGGCCTTGAGCTTCAATGGCTGCACGTATAGCCAATTGACATGCTTGTGTACTTGATCTTCCTGAATTTGGAAATTATGAACGATTCTTTTCAGAATTCCCATAGGCAAACCATGTCATGTTGATTTTTTAAAATTCTTAGAAGTTGAACATAATGTAAGCTCTGATACAGAATCTTAGTTTCGCTCTTCAGGCAGATAATGCAGAAGCAATACGTACATTTTCTTACGAATTTAACAACAAACAAGATCAGCAGTGCGCATTCATGCTGAAAGGAGTTATATCCTGGTGACCGATAAAGATTTTACGGTTTTGGCTTCCGCTTCCGGTGCATAAGACCTAAGAATTTTAAAAGGCAAACCCCATTATGGACTTCCAGACGAAAAAAAAACATCACAAAAATCGATTTCAGCGCGTAAAAACTTCGTACTGAAAATAGATAGCGTTGTCATCAGATTTCCCCTCAATTAATTTTTCACATTTTAGTTAATTTACATTTCAAATCTTTATTTATAAAGTTCGTTGTTATAATTGTTTAGAAGCATATTCCTGATGATGAAGCTCATCTCCAAGCTTACATATGCAACTAATGAATTTCACTAAACCTCTTTACAATTTATTTTTTAGCCGATTTGCGGATTCAGCAGTAAGGTGGACTTGCCGCTGGCATCTTTTTTCTAATTGTAAATTGTATCTAAAAGTAATCTAGAAGTAAACCCTGAGTTTAGGTGATAAAACAATTCGCATAAGAGCATATAAGATACATGGAACCAAAAATGTTGATAAAATCCAGATTTCATATCATGTTAAGTTTCATAATCAATTAAAAACATATAACTCAGTACTCACTGCAGTGAGTGACAGCGAGCGCATTTTCTCGTCGACGAAAACGTGAAGTCACGGACAGACGGAGTGACGGACGGACAGTCGAACAGACGAACAGACGGACAGACGGACAGACGAACAGACGGACGGACATGACGAGCACAATAGGGCATTTTTTCAATAAATGAGAAGATGCGCTAAAAACTTTTGGATACTTTGGGCGCTGAGGCATAGCGCAGTGGGGTACGCGCAGCGGTCAGCACGCGGCCTTCTGCGCAAAAAGTCGCCCTCAGGAGGTCGGCATCGGAGAGAAAGTTCACCACACGAGCTGCCGTGGCATACATCGACACAAACACGGCTTACGTAATGCTGGCTTTCTCGATGACCAATTCATGTCACTGTCACCAATCGTGAACTCTTAACTGTGCAAGTGCTATAATTAATGCTCTTCACATTAGTTAACAGTTCCTGAATAGCATTTACTGGTGTACAAATATCTTATTCGCTTGTAAAATATCTAATTCAAGTACGAAAATGTGCAATGTGAGGAGTCAATATCATATCAATGTCCCTATAACAGTTACCTGCCTGATAAGAGACTCGCTGATTGATACGACTAACCCTTCTTAGACAGCATAATTTTACGATGTTTTTACTAGTACCTGTACAGGTAAAATTGTACCTATGTAATACCGCAAAGGTTAAAGCAATGATAACTGTTATAATTACAGAAAATAAAAATTAAGCAACAAAATTCGCATCCTGCCGATGTGAACAAGAAGGAAAGTATGAACATACATATGAAGTTGTAAATAATATTAGAAGAAAATTGGATTGTAATAAATCTATCAAAAACAATATATATTCGAATATATATATTAAAATATCTATTGTATTCCTTTAATTAAATAATTATCAGTAATTACCAATAAGATAGTACTTTATTATCAGTAGATATTCGTATTACAAGCTCTGTTATATACGTATATCATGTTGCAGAAATCTCTAAAACCACGTGCCTAATCAGCTGTAAAATCTAATTAACAAATAAAGTATGCTTGAAAAGAATGCGATTGAAGTAAAAGGCTAGCAGCATTCAGTAAAGAAGACAGATGATCGCTAGTCTATTGTAAGCGCATGACTCGTGATAAGCTGACACGCAGCAGCAGCACAATAACACGTGAAGGTAACAACAATCACGAAGGAGAAGCGCAATATCACATGTTCCTGCGCTGATCACTTTCTCCGACGCTCGCACGACGCGATAGCCAGCGCTGCTATACCTCCGCCAGACACACTACGGAGTCGCGTATCACTGAACTCCCCGGGGGGCGAAGCTCCCGCTCTCCGTGCGGCCGGCGCCACGCATGCAGTCATTCGAGACTCAGTTCCCAGTGAAAATTAACAGAGGCATCAGCTTCTGATTTGGATTACCAGAAGCTGGGGCGACTCTAAATTTTGGAGTTGGAGTTTACGTTAGCCTTAATTGTCCTAACGGCTAGAGATTCACTGGGGAGCCAAAGGGTGCGCCAGCCTGAAAAAGTTTACGTTAGCCTTGTCCTAACCAATCAGAGGAAGGCTTTGGAGCATACATAGCGCAATTTCATACAATTATTACTTTGACGATTTTTCTCCGGCGGGAATAATTCAGAAATAAATGAATGACTATTAATGATTACCAGCATTAAGACCATTCATGTTATGTTATATTAAGGTAATATATGTAGTGTAATAATGCCGGCATTAAGTGCCTGCAGCGTCATGTTTGGCGTGTCGACGATTCCTGTAATGTTCTTGACTTGTCGATCTGCCTGAGATCTAAAAACTGGTCTTATGACCAGATGTTTCCAGAACTGACGCTGAAGCCAAAGGCTTCGTGATTTTTATCAGGCCTGTGAGGTGAGAGGAACTTTCAGAGAACTAGAGGAGGAAAAACTCAAATTGTCATCAAATTTGGAACAAATTCAATCCCCAGTCAGTTAAATGTTTTCAAAATTAAAAAATATATATAAATTTACCTGATTCAATGGAATGAGATTCGGAACTTGACACTGAAACATTTACTCATACTAATCTCTCGTCATAAAGAACTGGCTGACGAGGTGATAGAAATTACAAAACAAACTCAATATGCAGACCGTGGCTTTGATAAAACTAGAACGATGAGATCTCACACTGATAGCACGGTATATATGGATCGACTTAAAATTCGTGTTAAAACTGAGAACCCATGCGTCACTCGATAATTCTGTGCTACAGGAACATCATGCAGACTCAGATTTTTCCAATGCTTGCTCTTACATAAGAACGAATTGAAGAAACAAAATAAAACATAAATAAGTCTCCACATGCACGTGAGATGGCGAAGGTATATGTACACTGAGGGATAGTGTACAGCAGGTACGTAAATCGATTGCCAGCTGTAGCTCACAAGTGTCCAATGTATTTACGAGTATTAGAATTTACGAACGTATTGTCAATGCGTTAGCTTTCACAACGAAAAGCCAAGCAAGAAATCGATCTTATTCAATAAAGGGTGCACATCATCACGACTATGAATTCATATGGCGGAGATCTTTCCAAGCAAAAACAAGTACATTAGTGACTTGAAAATGCTATTATATAGTCTTTTTATATTCATATATATTTGGAGAAATTGCATCACAATACATCAGTGACCTGAAAATGCTATTAATGTTTTTATTTTCATATTTATTTGGGGAAATTGAATCACAATACATCAGTGACCTGAAAATATTATTACTGTTTTTATATTGATATTTATTTGTGGAAATTGCATCACAATACGTTAATTATAATTAGACCATCGAATACCAATAAAGTCTAAAAACATATAACTCAGTACTCACTGCAGTGAGTGACAGAGAGCGCATTTTCTCGTCGACGAAAACATGAAGTCACGGACGGACAGAGAGACGTTCAGACAGACAGACGGACGGACATGGCGAGCACAATAGTGCATTATTTCCATAAATGAGAAAACGCGCTAAAAAGTCTATTTTGCCGTCCTGTAGCTCATGTGTGGAAGCTTGCTCTCTTATTGTTATTAAGCCGAGAGTGATAAAACTAATCTGATTCAACTGCGACGAGTCGCAATTAGGAACAAGTTTGAGTCTGTTGATGTATAATAAGTCTTACCAACAGGTATGTTACCACGGAGACTTAACGTGGTTATCTCCTATATATATATTAATGATTTCTTATCAGCTTTAAATCATCATCTCCCATCTCAAATGAAGTTCATTCTAACCGATCGATGTAATAAGAAAAAATGTCCAAGAAGATGCCCCCATACGAGATTTAGCAAAATTCTACTTGCTGTTGAAGGCCATGAAGCGCCTCAGTTGAAATAGCGTCACCTTACACTTGTTCAAATACATGTTCAAACTGTCAACGGCTAGTACGGCGGCCTTCAGCTTCATTGTACAAGTTCAAACTTGAATGTTCAGTGCCAGAGACCTCCAAAAAGTGCATATACAGGAAGTCGATAAAGTATATACTAAGGTACCTATTCTAAATTTTACGTGCAGCCAATGGAGCATACGAATTTCGGCGATAGGTCTACGGCCTAATAAACGCTGAAACCGCTATATTATTATATTAATTCAATAAATCAGTCATGCTAGTGTTAGCGAAGAGAACGCGTGTGAAACAAATGTACATTTTTAGGTTTATTTCCCTCATAACCTCAAGTAGAGAGACGCTGGCAAGAGGATGTCGCATGCGACTCGTGCTGGATACACGACGACCGACGTTCAAGCATTACATATATATTATTTAATTTAATAATAAATTATCAAATATAATTAACTATTAATTGATATTGTACCGTTATAAATGTGTCATTGATGAATAACTTTCACTTCCATGTACCGAAGATTAATGTCACACAACAAAAATATATCCAAGTTGATGGTCTTGCTTGTGAGATTCAATAATTAATCGTTAATAAGTAAGCTGGGTAGGCGTATCTGCGATTATAGTGATTACTGATGTGACGATAAGGAAGCAAATCATGGTAAATGTGAGTACTCTTTCTGCCACACGTTAGAAAATATTATCTCTTAATGTCAATGCAAATCGTTATAAAAGTATTGGATGACGTAAAGTCAGTATAGATGAATAACACATTCATTTGGATAGCAGGTTTTGCAGTTATACGACTAGTATCTTTGATACAGGCTTACGGTAGTCAGGTGAGGATTTTCTGAAGAGAATATATGTACCTAATGCATTATTGAGTAAAATTAATACAAATCAAGTACAATATAAAATATACATAATTTAGACCCAATACATTATTGAGTAGAACTAATAAACAAGGTTCGCAGGTGTATAGAGGCAGAATATCAAGGACAAGTGAATGATTGAATAGAAGTGAATGAGTCACACGTATAGCAGGTGTGACTGGCACCGATGCCTGACCGGTGTTTCATCAATCACTGGCGGGTATAATTCACGCACAATAATCAACATCATCTCTGTTATTCCACAAATTAATTGTTGTGAACAATGAAAAGAATATTCGAAAAATGCTTAGGGGTATCTCTGTGTTTTTATTTGTTTACAATTTGTGCTGGATTACCAAATTCATCCTTCAATTTTGGAAAAAAGTACGTTAATTTTAGGCCCATCGACTTAAGCCGCAAAAAGTATATTCGGATATGCTGCCTTAACATGATAAATTGTCCTGTGGTGCGTACCGACGCGAGAGTGGTTATTATTGCAATAATCATGTAGGCCGTGGGTGGCGTTCAGCAATGAGTTCTTTATGTCTGCTGTAAAAATTAACCCTTGTCAAAATTGGCACTTGGCCTACTTCTTCTTCCAGGACTTTAAATGAACACCAGGAAAAATAATAATTCTACTGTTCTGTATACTTGCGTTAGTGATATCAAAATAGCACCACTAAAAATGGGCCTAAAATTAACGTACTCTCGTCTAAAAATGAAGGATAAATTTGGAAATTCAGCAAAAACTTTAAACGAATAAAAATATAGAGATAATTACCCCTAAGAAACAGGATTGCAGGGTCAAAGCATCACATTCACGGACCTGTTGATGGTTTTCAGAGGCGATGTTGACGCCGTTGACAGCGACGATTCTGTCGCCCTCTTTGAGCAGCGCCTTCTCAGCTGGCGACCCCTTGTCCACCTGCCCGATGAACTGACCGCTCTTGTTCTTTATTGTGTGAAGATTGAAGCCGTAGCCGTTAAAGTCGGGTGAGCGCCTGATGTGGCATAGCCGTGGCGGGTGAGGGGACGTTTCTGCGAGCAAAATAAAGGCATATTTTTTCAACATATTACTTCAAATAAAGCATATAATATTAAGGCCCTGGTTGAAGGTCGCAAGGCTTCTAACAGGCTTGGCTCTTCCCTATGCGTTTCTTCACTAATTAGGATAGACTTTACTCCACTCGCAAATGAGATGGCGATATGGATTTTTCCATGCTTACCCATCTATTTATTTATAAGCGTCGACCAGTATCAAAAGATATGTAAACTTTGTATAAAAAGAGTTTTAATGAGAGGAAATTTCAAGCAACTTTGAATATTATTGTTCATCAAGTCTGCGACTTTTTTACTTTTTTCGAGATATAAAAGGGTTGTAATTTTTATTCTCCATTGAATGGTATACTCGGCATTCCTTGATCAGCCTCTTTGTTGTAGATATTTTCGACCGAAAAATAGTTATGATCGAGCCTGCTGATGCGCGGAGGGAAAATCCCGCATACTAGCTGCTCAAATGGAGTTCGGCCACCTGAAAGCGACCAGTGACCGCGAGAAAGGGTCTGGCTAGGATATCATATTACAAAGAGTACAAGCTCGAGGGTAGCGACAGGCTGAGCTTCGGACAGATCAAGGATTTTACACGATGGTCGCGAAAACCTCGCTCTTAGACTTCGCACGGCTTTCAGTCAGGGCCTTAAACACATCATAGTGAACACACATAAATGTAAACCCAACTCTAAAAGATTAGTGAAGCTAATGTAGCACGATAAGAAGAAATCAAACAGTTTTTTATGCATTCTATAATTATAATATGTGATTTTTCATGAGGTTCGCAGCGGAAGTTTTCAATTCACTCATTGAATTTTGTTTTAAAGTTATCTGAACAAAGAAATGATATTGCAAGAAGAACAACGGTGTACACATCACAACAGTTTTGTACACTGATGAGTGGTACACAAAGATATTTTTTTTACTACTTTTGCACACATCTTTGCCATAAAAAGCTAAATTAAAAACTTAAAATTGAAAATTACAAATTTAAATTAAAATTAAATAATAAACTTAATAATAAATTTAGCCTGTTGCTTGAATAACCAGACATGTAAAAGCAAACTTGACTTATACACTATAAGTCGAATATGGTGAAGAGAGGTACAGTGAGACAAGCCAATTCTTCTATTTATTAAAGTGTACAATACCTCTCTGTGCCACGTTAATCAATGTACACACTTGTGTGCCATTATCAAACTAAACACTTATTATTCTTTATTATATAAGAAATGTTTTTTTGGAATCGCTGCACATTTAAAAAGGAAACCTTGCCTTTATACTTTATACTTGCCTACAGTTTTTGAACTTTAAAATAGAAAACATATAGATTTTTATGTTCTCCTTCCTTTCATCCGCTTCTAAGAGATTAATCTCGTTCGTGTACCTATACTTGAATTTTCACTGCTGATTGTGCTCATATAAAATTACTGACCCGTCCCACTGAACCATATTTTCCACCACGTTTTTTTTTCAGTTAAAACCTCATTGCCGAATACTGCTGAGCAATTGTGTTATGAGAGACCATAAAGTACAACTTAGTACAACTTTTTTTTACAAAATGTTGTAAACTTTTTTTGCAACATAAAAAAGTTGTAAAATTATAAAGTACAACTTTTTACCAACGCGCCATAGTGCATTAATGTCATGAGGTGCGTACTGCGTAGCTTGGAAGGAATGACTGTGCATGATGCAAGCTGGCGTAGTATTGAGGCCGAGTCCAGCTCTCTGCCACTATGATCATCTTCTTATTAACATTCAACAGAAAGAACCGATTTAGGCGCAGACATTGAAGACACAGACACACAGAGAAGCACAGACACTGAAAAGTGCATAGTAAATCGGGTACAATAAAATCTGAATTTGATCTTTATATTTAGTTTGTCAAACAAGAATGAACGAGCACCACGCTAAAAAAAACAGAGTATGAAGATTCTGCTCCAAATCGCGAAACCAAAACGGTGAAGATATTTCGTCAATATTCTAACGGGTTTCAAATTTTCAACCTCGCATGTCGTTCCAGAAATTAGTAAAGTAATAGCGCTAGACGACCGGCGGCGGATGCTGAATTTGCAACAATGCCAGAGCGAGCTGAGCAAAATTTGCGAATCATTAAAAAAAGTTAACTATTTTACTGGCGTGATAATTGAAGCAAGATAATATATTTAATTGCAACTGACTTCATGTGAAAAAAATTCTTTTGTTTATCAACGTGAGGAGATATGGCCGCTTATCAGCGACACACCGACCGCTATCTCAGACCGGCTGGCAGAGCAGCAGAATGGCAGCTGCGTCAGGTCAAAAGCACAAAGTCTACAAGTCTACTCGCTAGGAATACGCTTTTAATGACCAAATGCCAAAGTTTAAATTTCAATCAATTTTTCGATTTCCACACAATGCAGGGCGCCAGCCAAAATGTACGTGTCACAACAATGAACCGCTTGATCGGTGGTTAAAAAATTCTATTAAACTTCAAGAATATCGGCATGTATTACTGATAGACAAACCATTTAGTGAGACACTGAGAGTTGATTTTTTTACAAAATTGAGAGTGGGTCAACTGTATAAAATGCAAAGGTTCCTCGATCGTTTCAAACGGAGTAGACACAAAATGTTAACCGTTAGATTAGTACAGATATTGAAGAGGAAAAACCTTTAGAATCATGAAAGCTCACACATCGTTAATGAACCTGCAAATAATATGACTTTATATGTTCACATGCTTGGTGTCACAGATAAAAGACCAGCTTCGACTCAATAATATTAGTTTCGTCCATTACCAATGAAACATGTGAAATACTTACAAAAAAGTGTTATACAGAAAATTAAAAGAACCATTGCAGTCATATGTTGTTACAATTTCCTGCAATTCTTCATCCTAAATCACCGGTAGAGCCTTAATAGGCACCGTCTTTGGTCAAAGATTGGCAGAAAATTCGACATTATATTTTCAAGCATTGCTTCTAACAGAAGCTGGAGAAAGTCAAGGCTGGACCGAATGGACAGCGTGGTTAAGGAATGTAAACAACGAAGCTGTAGCGATGCAGCATCACGCACACCGGTATCCCAGGCACACAACACGCGCATGCTGCGTATCCCAGGCACACAACACGCGCATGCTGCGTGTCCCAGGCACACAACACGCGCATGCTGCGTGTCCCTCAATAATATGTAAGGCGCGCGCCGCTTCGGCGACACACACACCAAACAGAGCGATAAGACTCACGCAAGCTTTCTGATCACAGGCACCCTGTATCTTATTCAAAACAGTCAGTTATATTATTGTATATCTAGAATCTAGATGAATGACAACATGCGCATCACTAGACGAATGACAACATGCGCATCTCTAGACGAATGGCAACATGCGCATCTCTAGACGAACGACAACATGCGCATCACTAGACGAGTGACAACATGCGCATCACTAGACGAATGACAACATGCGCATCACTAGACGAGTGACAACATCCGCATCACTAGACGAATGGCAACATGCGCATCACTAGACGGGTGACAACATATGCGCATCACTAGACGAGTGACAACATGCGCATCACTAGACGAATGACAACATGCGCATCACTAGACGAGTGACAACATGCACATCACTAGACGAGTGACAACATGCACATCACTAGACGAATGGCAACATGCGCATCACTAGACGAATGACAACATGCGCATCACTAGACGAATGGCAACATGCGCATCACTAGACGAACGACAACATGCGCACCACTAGACGAATGACAACATGCGCATCACTAGACGAATGACAACATGCACATCGAATGTTCAATGTCCATTCTCAGAAAGCTCCTTTAAATAATTTCAATCTACACAAAGTTTCCATTTCCTTCGTGGTCTAGTTGATCTCAACGCGCAGAAGCAAATACGGCTGCGATTTCTATCACGCTTAAGTCCCTCGCAACAGACAGTTCCTGACATTATTATTAATTAAAAAATTATATGAAATTTGAATTCAAAGTATCTACACTCACAATACAGACGAAACCAGTTCTGTTTAAATGGATTTTTCTTAGAATAATAAATTACCTGATGTAGGTGGACTCTCGCTCACTTGAGAATGCTAATTACACCTAAATATTGAATTAGTCGCACGCTAAGTGAACGGCTATGCAAGTATACTGAACGGAAGCTCAAACAACGGCTTCCGTCCGATGCGTAGGCGTTTAACTTGTCAAGCCGCAAGTGTTAGGAATATCATCCGGTGTGAGAACTGGTAACATATCAGCACAATTCAATTGATCATAATTCTTCATGTTTGAATTATCGTCCGGTGTGACACGCTGGTAACATATCAGTACAATGTCAATTAATCATAATTCATCGGGTTTGAATTATCGTCCGGTGTGACACGCTGGTAACATATCAGCACCATGTCAATTAATCATATTTCTTCATTTAAACGCGATCAAGATTTCAGGCATAGCCTGCAAGTCTTTATTTATGTTTATAACATCATTACAAGAAATCAAGTAATAAGAAGAGTACAGTGGAATGGTAACGATATTTCAGAGCAAAAACTTGCAAAGGTCAAGACATCGTGATAGGTTAAGAGCGCTACTGTGTTGGAACATACCTACTTTAGCCGGTTAACCAGCAAGTTTCAGCGTACTATCGACCAAACACAAATTACCGTGGAACCATGCAATGCCTAAGTTGGACATATTTCTAGATTTTTAAAACAAAGAGAATATGAAAGAAACGATTTACCCCCAAAACTTACTAAGCTAAAAATATCGAAAAATTAAATCCAAACTTATTCAATCGCCCATATCATCAAATTTGGCGTATTGGTCATTAGATACAGCGTGCGCGTGCGATTGTTGAGCAGCACACTCATAAATACGAGTGAGTGAAATTTCCGGATAGTAACTGACTTGAGGGAACGCAGCACTGATTCGCCTCCTCGCGGGCCTAACTAAGTATCACTATGATCAGTATGACCTCCACAAGGGTTTAGAGTGCATCTTGGTTAAAACGTAGTCTCATTCATTTCTCCGAGTACAGAATGAGATGACCCACTATCAGCAAAAAGTTTCATAGTGACGCTCTGTCCCGCGACTAGCGATCGGGTTTCTCAACCGCTAGTCTCAATCTCGTTTGTCTGTCTCCTTCTCGCTGGCTAGAAAACCGCTAGTGGGTGTATGCTTCAAGAATTTTGATTGTTTAAAATACTAGCGAGAGAACCCGGTGTTTCTCGGGCTAGACTGAGATGCTGAAATGCGTAGCATTTTCATTCTTTGACATCATTAGGATTTTATGATAATGATGAGTGTGGCTAAAGTAAAGCTCCATTAAAGCCCAAGGGAACCCGAGATAAAGCTAAAGTTAAACCGAAATGAATTCAATGTGAGGTCAGATTGACGCAAGAATTAATCCGATATGAGGCCTGGACCTCCACCATCATCACTGACAATTTTACTGTCACCATTGAAGTTGGGCGTCATTGACACAACTAGTGCAAGACTTGGGGGAGGTGCGCATCGCCGGATAAGAGTGACACGTATTGGCCGCACTTCGTGTGTTATGCAACAGAATTTCAAAGCTATGTAGCACAAAGCACGTTCAATTCCATCTAATTTTTTTAGTCGCTTACATTTGTAAGTTTATTAATTCAATAGACTGTAAAACTTGCTAGCTGAAACCATAGCGGGTAAAAACACACACGATCGGATTAATATAAACAGTAGAAAAATCGAAGCCTTCAGTCAGTCGTGTGTTGCAAGAAGATAATTTACACGAGATGCGAGTTGCAGGGGCAAGGCTTGAGCATGAACGCGAACTTCCTAGCATTTGCGTGCACGATCAAGTGACTGCAATACTAGTGTATTGCAGTAGGTAGTTTTGGGATGCTCCGAGCCTTGCAAATTAATCTAGTGACAAATAAATAAATATAATAAATGTCGCTTCGGAGGACCCGACCAGCTCTTGTTAGGCCCAGCCACCACCGCAAGTATCGGATGTGCGCTGTACTTGCTCCAATGAATCATATAAAACTATAACACTAATAATAATAGCAGCCCCTCTTCATTTAAACTTAAAGCATTCACTTTACACCAGCGCAACGAACGTCTAGTTTTTCAACACTATTGTTCAACTCTTCGACAATGCTGCATCAAATCCTTAGAGTGGGCGCTCCTTCCGAGTCTTCCACGAGTAATTTTTATCATTGATGTTAGAAACAAGTCAAACAACGCACATTTGTTTCAATTATTATATGTTAATAAAATGCACGTTCAATGCATTATTTTATTTTGAAGACAAATTTTTAAATTTTATGAACTTTGAAGCTAGCAGAATCATATAAATATTATATGATGCAGTGACAGCTTTTTAACGTAAGTCCCTTTGATGGGAGCTGATTGTGAAATTAATAACGAGGCCTGGCTCGTTCGAACTGCGTGCAGGTGTAAACATACAGGCAATTTTTTCTCTAGGGTTTTTCTACCTAGAAATAATCATGTTTTACCTAAATAGTTTCGTCTAGGTAAATTTATCCAGGGGATAAAGTTGTTGAACTCACTCAGAAGAAATTCTCCTAGGATGCGCTGAGGTCTCATCAGTTGCAAATCATCAAATGAAACAAAGTTTGTCGATATTTACCTCAATGTCCCGTTAGGCTACGCCAACAGATCCGATCTACAGGTTAAAAACAGAAGAGTTTTTTTATTTGAACATCTTTAATAGCTAAGATCTAGAGTCAGAAATTAATTTCAACAGCTACTTGAGAATTTTGAGATCCACGTAATCAGTGAGAAGTAAAACAGCATTCGGGATAGTTGCGCCTTTCCGATAAGTGTAGCATGAAGCAATAGTATTCAACTGCTCATCGGAAGTTTTTTGAAATACTAACCCATAACGCACATCAGCCATTATATTTTAATTAAAAAATAAACTTACTTGTGTTGGAAGGCATCTTCTAGTTGTACCGTACCCGTGCACCTGTTAAAAATTACTCGGGAAAATCACTCACGACCACACAGCACGGAACGCCAACATGTACTGACTACGGACTACTGATAAAGTTGGTTGGGAACTTGGCGGTTTGGTCTGACCGTCTGTACTGACTGTCCAAGAGTAGCCAAGACTCTTGATCGGATGAGTCGAATGATGAAGATTTTGTGGATATCCTCTCAAGTAAACTCACAAGCAACATTTTTGCTTAGAGCACAGATTTCATCCAGCTTTATATCATGAGTATCCTATATGTATCATTGACTCATTGTATGTACCCTTGAACTTCGTGCAAAGGACGCTAAAAACTGAGCGTGTGGACCGGCCTAATTAAATTTCACACGTAAATTTTCCAAACGCTTATCGTAAAGGAAATTCTGCTCTCACAACTTCATTCAAAAGTTCATTGTTTATCAAAATTTCCCTTGCCCATTTTTCTAACAAAACCTAATTAATTGTAACACTATGGCATTTCAATTTCATGACTTTTATGATTTTCCAATGCAGAATAAAAAATGTTAATTTCCCTTGTAATGAGTAACGCAGAGCTTGATATGGGGATATGATAAAAGTTTAGCACGGGAATTTGATTCATGGTAATCAGGTTGATACGAACCGTCGACTGCAAGTTTGGTAATCAGGTTGATACGAACCGTCGACTGCAAGTTGGTCTTCGAGCATCAGGCCTAAGCATGATGAAAACATTTTAACCCAATTAACACTTCAAATGAATCTCCTTGTTCATGCCATTGGGCCTGAAAGCCGACATCGAAATGACCGTAGAATTTTCATCGAAGAGTTTTCGTAAAGTCTCGATATAATATTAATTTAATTTGCGTTTACTGTTTTTTTAATCAAACGCATCTTCGGTCGCAAATTATGTAGGTAGTTGTAAACTTGTAAGCAGTTTCATCATGTTAGGTATGAGTTTGAGTACTGCAGAAGAAAATTTTTTCACCGAAATGCACAAAGGATGTTGTTGACGCATCTGAAATTTCATTCCTATAAAATTTCTCTATATCACAAAAGATTTAATCGATAGAAATTCTGTTAATTATATATCTTCCTATTATATATCCATCATATTAGTTAATGTCTTTCTTCAGGAGGCATAGAGGGCGCCATTGGCCTTCTAACGTAGGTTCGTTGCGGTCAAACGAAAATATAGCAAAATGCCACAATGGAACTTTACTTGCGAGTCGTTAAATTTTTCGTCTTGCCTCAGTTGCCTGTGATTCAACATTAAATTATTTTCCATATAGCTATTCGGAATACCTTCCCTGACCTTTGCTTCATTTTCGATTCGTATAGCTATAGGTAGCTTGAGTCCTTGCGAAGACCAGTAAGTACTGTAAGTATCATGGATATCAGCGTAAAAAAAGCCATACATGTTCTAATCATAATAATATTGAAAGAAATCTTGAAACAGACGAAAAATTGCAATGAACTACATTTTCTAAAGAGTAAAGAGTCTCTACTTTGCCATGATAGTTCCAAAGATATCCACTAGACTAGCAGCTCAACATCCCAGTGCGCAGTGCTTGTGGTTAAAAAGTCAGAACTTTGGAGAACCGAGATGGGATTGGTGCTGTGACTGTGACTCTGTGAGGCTGTGTGAGCAATGGCTAACTTACCCAGGCTAAGTAAGGGTTTGATCCCAAACTTCCCAAGTTCCCAGCCATTCCCCATTTCCTAGTCTCTGAAGTCCGAGCTACAAGTTACACTACACTGACTACAGTGACTCACTGTGAGTACTGACTACTGAGTAGGTACAATACAATGACCCATCACCCATGGGCATAGTGACAAAGCAGAGAGTTTTTTAGACTCTCCCTCAAGGCTCAAGTTCATTTTTGAGTCCTATTAGTAGACCAGTAAAGTATCATGGATACCAGCATTATCATACTTAAGAAATTGGTTAAAATCTTGAGGCCACGGGCAACTGGGCAAGGAGGACTTCTGAAGAAGGAGCAGCATGCAGCAGAGCAGGCGCAGGGCCATATTGCCAGTGGCAACTGGCAAAGGAGATTAGGAGAACATTTTTTGTTGCCTTGTCTCAAATCATTTTTGAGTCCAATAAGTACAACTTATAAGTGTTAAAGTGTAGAACTATACTTACTAAGTACTAAGTAGTAAGTACCTAGTAATTTAGTTAAGTAAGCAGTAATAAGCATTGCCATAGTGGCAAACCAGAGCTTTTTTAGAATCTGTTCATTTTTAATTTCTTCATTTACTCAAGAGTCAAGATTCAAACCAATTTCTTAAGTATAATAATGCTGGTATCCAGGATACTTTACTGGTCCCACACTCAGGATTATGTATGTTTTTAGGGAATTTTCCCCGCGCATTTTGACTTTTTTCAAGCTATTGCGGCGCACAGTTGGTGCAACTTCTGGCCATCCCTGCTTGCACGTGCAAGCGTTGGCGCAGCGCGCGCAAGCATCGGGACAGCGCATAGTGACAAACCAGAGATTTTTTAGAATCAGTTCATTTTTAATTTCCTCATTTACTCAAGATTTTAACAGATTTCTTATGTATGATGAAGCTGGTATCCAGGATACTTTACTCAGTTTACTGGTCTACTTATAGGACTCAAAAATGAACTTGAGGGAGTGTCTAAAAAACTCTCTGCTTTGCCACTATGGGACAGCGTGCGCAAGCGTCGGCGCAGCGCATATACATTTTGTCAAGGGACAAGAGACAGAAAACGTATAATACTTAATATGCATTTAATTATCCATCAATAATCTATGATTTTCCTTGATATGGAAGTTTTGTGAAAGTAAAAATCTAGAAATTTATTTTCGAAGAAATTTTCTACAAATTTCTTATACAAACTGGCAAACATCGTTTGTTTACCTTCCGTAGACCGTCCGGACATGAGGCAATATTCTGTCCGAACGCGAGGCAAGTGGTGAATAACCAAGTCCTCAGAAATTGGACATATGAAGTAAACAAATACTAGTGTTAAATGACAGATTTTGCTCGTTCTATATATATTATTATTGCGCTGATAAGGTTATTAGAGATTCTACGGTTAATGCAAGGAAACAGAAATAATTTCATCATTGTAATTAATGGAAAATAGTTTTGAGTGCAAAATCTTTTGTAAATAAAATATGTCCTGACATAACTGTCATCAGAAATTCCCAACATTGACTTTACATACTTTTACGCAATGCTGCTTCATCGACTCATCGTCATGTGATGACGTCTCGGACAAATTTACGGCCGTACTTGCGGCCAGTTTCGCGGCTGGACTCTGTACCTGAAATATCTCCAATGGCCCAACGGTGATGTCAAGCTCGTGACAATTATTTTTAATATCGCCTTCATTCGTGAGTTATGACGAAACGTACCGAAATTTGCAGTGTACCACTACGGTGTACCAGCCATTTCTTTACTGAACAGAATTTAATGAAACTTTGCATATAGAAGAAGCCTAACCTCCCAACGGTGTGATGTTTAACTCATGACAATTTTTTACGTTTTGCCTTCGTTGGCGAGTATTTTTCTCTTTTCCCTCACTCGTGATTTAAACAGCAAAATGGTGTTTAAATTCGCAGTGTACCAAAGATTTCTTCTAAAATACGGAACAGATTTGAACGAAACTTTGCATATAGAAACCTAGACTCCCAACGGTGATGTTTAGCTTGTGACAATTTTTTTTATTTTGCCTTCGTTTGCAAGTTATACGGAGAAACGACCAGCATTTCTCAGGCCGATTTTTAAACTTTCATTGACCAAGAGGCATATACATAAAGCCGTATAACTCGCAAACGAAGGCAAAATTGACAAAATTGTCACAAGCTAAACATCACCATTGGGAAGTTAGGTTTCTCTATGCAAAGTTTCATTCAAATCTGTTCAGTATTTTAGAAGAAATCTCTGGTACACTGCAAATTTAAACACAATTTTACTTTTTAAATCACGAATGAGGAAAAAGATAAAAATACTCGCCAACGAAGGCAAAACGTAAAAAAATTGTCACGAGCTAAACATCACACCGTTGGGAGGTTAGGTTTCTATATGCAAAGTTTCGTTCGAATCTGTTCAGTATTTGAGAAGAAATCTCTGGTACACTGCAAATTTTGGCACGTTTCGTCATAGAACTCACAAATGTAGGCGATATTAAAAAGAATTGTCACGCGCTTGACATCACCGTTACGCCATAATGAATATGTGAACCAAGTTTCATCAAGCTATGTTCAGTACTTTGGGAGATATTTCAGGTACAGAGTCCGGCCGCGAGACCGTCCGCAAGTACGGCCTTAAATTTGTCTGAGACATACGAGTCTCTTGAAGCTATTCATATTTTATTATTATTTGTTGTTACTTGTTAGTCTATATAATTAACCTTCAAAGTTGCAAAAAATGAGAACTGAAAATTTAAAAAAAAAGTGCAGTGCCTGTATTTTTGTTTTCAATGGGTTTACACCACACAAACCCATTTCTCCAGCCGGGAGGATGTCGGGAACGCAATGTATTCCTGACATTGACATTCGGGTTTGTACTATTTGCCAAAGTCAGTCCTTCGTTAGAAAGAGCCAATCTAAAGCCATGTGGATTGTCGCCTTCTACTATTCAGTTTTGTAATTAATTTCCAACCGAATTGTGATCTATGAATAATTATTCATAACATTGCCGACTCTTAGAACCTGAGTTAACACGTTAGAAATCTACTCAGCGTGATGCAGATATTTGTTTGTGTGTGATAGCGTTGCCGGGCATTCATCTTTAAACAACTTTAGGAGCACGGCGCAGGCTGACGCACGGTGCACTTTTTTACCGGCATATTACGGCGCAAATTTATGCAATGATAATAAAAATTCCCGCGCACCTGGCACATCTTCCTGACCGTGGTAACTGGTCTACTTATAGGACTCAAAAATGAACTAGAGGGAGAGTCTAAAAACTCTCTGCTTTGCCACTATGAGCATAGCATAGTAGAATCATTCACTGGATTGACTGGAATGCGGCATTATTGGAATTTTCCTACTTGTTTCTGAAATCTTGCAGCTCCATGACAAATTTTTAACGCAATTTTGGAATCTTGCATCCTGATCATGCACCTTTGTTAACAACCAGTCTTAGATATGAGCCACACTCAGCGTAAACGCGGTATATTCCGACAGTTTAAGGACGTAGCAATAAATGAATGGCTATAAAAAAATCACTGTATGCGCAACTTGAGTTCTGTTTGCTTTATGTCACTCTCCAAACACCGCACTACGCGCCAGCAACAATTAAACGTCACAAAATGTTGCCATATTTATTTAAAAGCCTTTAGAATGCAAACCTACCAAATCCATATATTCCGACACAGTGCGACACTGTGTGTGACTAAATTTGGCATTTTGTGAGACTAATTCCGGCCGCGCTTCAAACTCTACTAATTCGTAATTCCGACACTCTTGTATTCAAATTCCGATCACTGTGTAAGATGTATTGGAATACGACACAGCTTGGAATTTGAACACTACTTATTTAGGCTTTTAATTAACCCTTTCACGGGTAAGTTACCATATATGATCACTTGAAATCGCATCACAAAAAGCCTCACCACGGCTTCCTGTTTGTTTTTGAGGCATCCTTATAATGCCTCAGTCAATCACTAATTATCTGACCATCGTTCTATCTATAGCATCACCAGCTGCAAAGTCCACAAATTGAAATATGAGCATTTAAATGAAGGTTTTGACTCCGACAATGGAACTGACGCTCTTTCTGCATTTTCTTCAAAATTTGGAAGTATCAATATATATATTTATTTATTTTGGCAACTTGATTAAATTGAATTAAATTAAATTTTTATGTTTCTAACTTTTCATTTGCATAAACTGAATTTTAATTCTAAAGAAAATTTTTTTGTACTGATGATCTGATCGCATTTATTGAATTCTTCAAGTGCGATTTAAACCTTCAATAGGCAAAAATTTCAAAAATTCATAGAAATAAATATATTGTATAATACTTCTTACTTTCTTGAAATGGTTTCTGAAATTTTAATTTCTGGATATTTCAATGCTTGCCCGCTAAAGGGTTAAGAGCTATTAAGCCTTTAATTAAGAAAATTTTAATTTTTGCATGCAGCTTGGAACGAGCTGTGTGTATCTAATTCCAAGCTGTGTAGGAATTAGTTTTTATGTGTCTATAACCATCTCTTGACTTAATCATCTATTAATTTATTTACAACTTGAAATCAGGAAATACAAGTATTCTTAAAGGATTCCTAATATATTTACAGACTTAAAAGTCTCAAACCATAATATTCTTTCCACACAAACAGTTTATCACTATTTGGTAGAGCAAGGTCAACTACCGTAAAATGGGGTAACTTAGACCACTTTTTTTCTTATAAATGATGCCATTTTCTTACTTGCTAAATTAAACTTGAATTGAAACATGCAAAATACAGGTCTATACTCTAGCTTCACTCACCATAAATTGCTGGCTCCTGCCTCTCATAGTCTTTATGAACATAACTAGCTGGAATTACTTATAATCATAATCCAATATAATAAATTAACTTCTTCAAACTAAACCATATCAGTGAGAGATGAATACAACCAAAGTAAAATGCAAGGAAACACAGGAAATTAATATCAATGAAATTAGCAAAATACAAAGACAAAACCTAACCTAAATTATCAATGAACAAATTATATAAATTTATATGCCACTCACCAGTGCAACTGAGTGCCCAGGCTGAGATACTGAGTAGGAATCCAAATATGTACTTAAGAATGATAATTCAAGTTTGCAAATTAAAGTTTGGTCATCTACACTGAAAAAGATAAAAATATTGAATTTAATTTAAATTGAGTTGGATTAAGAACTGAAGAAATATGATTACAGGTAAAGAAAGACATGAAGGTTGGGCTACACAGTAGCCTAATTTAACCTCCGGTAACAACTATTTCAACCAACATCGAATGCGTGGAACTAAGAAAAAGCTTAATATAAAGGAAAAAAGTTGAAGTGTCGGAATTACCCACGATGTCGGAACCTATGCAGGTTTTCAGGCCCTCAGGGAATTTTTCCGTGCATAATGTTTTATTTTTTGTCTTTGCACAGATTTCAGCTCTAATTCCGGTCATCCATTTCACCCCGCGCAGTTGTCGGAGCAAATACAGTTTGTCAAGGAACATTCAAACTGACAAAAACTCAAAATATTCAATATGCAATTATCTTTTAATAATATATGATTTTCCTTGATATGGAAATTTTGTATAAGTAAAAATCTAGAAATTTATTTTAGAAGAAATTTTTACAAATTTTTCATGGAAATGTTGTTTGTTTATCTCCTGTATCTAGGTAGTCAAACATTCCATCTGATTTTCTGGTTTTGCTTGTTCTATATTTACTATGCTAATCTTACAATTATCGGGTTATTAGAGGTTCTACGGTTAATGAACAAAGTCAGAAATAATTTCATCCTAATTAATGGGAAAATAATTTTTGAGTGGAAATAGGTACTTTTGTAAGTAAAATATGTCTAGATAGTAGACATATATATAGCTATCAGAAATTCCCAATGGAATGGTATGGCAATATTGTCTTTGCAAACTTTTATGTAATGCTGATAGCTACATTGTCATGTGATGTGTCCCTTGAAAATTGAAGCTATTCATATTTTATTGATGTTTATTTTTTGTCTATATAATTAATCTTCAAAGTTGCAAAAAATGTGAACTGATACTTAAAAAAATTTTGGTGCCTGTATTTTTTTATTTAATAGCCATGAGGATGTTGGAAACGTAACATATTCCCGACATTGACACACAGGTTTTTACTATTTGCCAAAATCAGTCCTTCATTAGAAGGCACCAATCTCAAGCCATGTGGATTGTTGCCTTCTATTCTTCAGTTTTGTAATTCATGTCCAACCAAATTGTGATCGATGAATAATGAATAAATATTATAACTGTGTCGACTCTTAGGACCTGGGTTAACACGATAGAAATCTAGTCACTTTGATGCCGATATATGTTTGTGTGTGATGGCGGTACAGCCCATTGCCATGGATTCATCTTAAAACAACTTTCGGAGCATGGCTCACAGCTCATTTTTTTACCGGCATATTACAGCACATGGCGCAGATTGATAAAATGACAATATAAATTTCCGCACACCTGGCACATCTTCCTGACCATGGGATAAGAGGTAATTCATCTGGCGGAAATCTCGCAGCTCCAGAAATGGCCATGCTTGGAATGGGGTTGATGTTTTTCTTTCTAGTTGAACTTGATGAAATAGTCTTGTACGTACTGCCATGCGCATGCAATCACCAAATCACGTATTGTATTGCTTTGCTTTCAAGATCAACAAATAACTTTAACTTCATGCTTAATAACCTACTGACACACTATTGCACTCAGTGCACTGTTGCACATATTATAATGAACCAAACATTTGGCTTCCTAACAGTCTATTACTATCATTTGGCTTCCTAATGGTATATTACACACTATTATTACATTTATAAATTGTAAGCATGGTGCAATTCTAGGATTGGCAGTACTTATTGGTCCTCACAAAAGGTGCCCGGTCTTTATCAGCATTACCCCTCTTGAGTAGAAAAATTTTAGGTAAGGAATAGTCACCCAAAATTCTTAATTTTGTATGTTCATGTTGAAGGTAACCTGTAATAAATTATATAAAATTTGATTATTTTTTGAGATTTCGTATTTAGAAGCCAGGGTGCAGTGAGTGATGAAGATCTGAAAATCTTCAGAGATGCATCAGCAGCAAAACTTCTGTCAACTGAGGATCTTGGCAATGCATTTGACAACATTCTTGAATCTTTGGCAACAGTTTTTGCAGAAGCAGAGCAAAAGAAAGTACACTTCAGTACAAATTATAAAATAAAGTAAAAAATACTTTATTTATTGTGTCACTTTAAATGCATTACCAACACATTTTATAGCATAATTGTACACGTTTACTCTACTTCCTATTGTTGCCGCGAAACCAAGTATCTTGCTCTTCGTTGCATTGGTTACGTTACATCGCAATGCTGTGCATCGCTTTGAATGGCTCATTGTTCTGTCTTTTCTTCCTTGCACATCTGAGTGCCTCCTTCTGCTTTCTTCAAGTCAGTATATATGCTAATTTTTTGTTCTCACAATTTTCATGAAAATTTATGTCTACGGAAGGCGATGATTGTATACCTATATGGATATAATTATGTTTTATGCAAGTTTGATTGAAGACCAGAGCATGCTTTTTATTAATAATCTTCTTATTGGTTTTTTCAATGAGTCAAACAAAATTTCTTGCTGGCAATGGGAGATCAAAAAGCAGGTTACCAAATGACATTTTAATGTAGGTTAAATGTAGGTTTCAAAAATACAATTTTCATTATCAAGCTGGTGAAGGTTTAACAACACTTGAAATTAAACTTTGAAAATGACAGTAGTACATATCAATGGTATAGTGAATGCAATTTAAAATATTTTAAATTACAATTTAAAATATTTTACATTCTGTCTGTGGTTTACAGTACTTAGTACATGGTTGTATCTTGTGAAAGGTGGTGTAAATGTGCTGTGGAGTGGTCTGAAATGCAGCATTGATTGGTCCCAAAGACTCAAAATGCGATGTTCTTTTACATTAACTACAAAATTGCACCATGTTGTTGGTGCTGTTTCATCTCAATTTATTCTTTTCTCTTGAGCAGGAAGTGAAATTAACTCTGTTATTAAAAATTAAGTCAGTAGATTAAATTAAGAGGAAAATAGTTCCAGACTCAACTAGAGTTGTCTTTGGCTTTCTGAAATTATCTTGCAGGATGTCTGAAAGTGATGGCAGCCGCCACTCTGATTCCGACCATGGTGGTAGCGACTCTGAAGTAAGAATTTCATTAATTTGCAAGATTTATATTACATTATTTACATATAAGGATTATGTTATGTGTGCCTAAAAAAGTTGATTGGTGTTCCTTTCTCAACATTCTTAATTTAATGGAATGCCAAACCCTTTAATCTTTCATCAAACATTGAACCCATTGAATTGAACCCTTTCATCAAACATTGTCAAATTCAATGATGTATAATTCAGATTAGTGGTTAATGGTCTTATCACAGTATTATTGCCAATTACTGCTATATCTTGCCGTTTGATTGATGGAATAAACACAGTTACATCACACAATAGCTACTATGTTTTCATAGGATTTTTTTATATTTATTTTAATTTGTTGAAAATTTTCAACTTGTATTTCAAATTCTTTATTTGACACTGCACAATTTCAACAAATGAATTAATTTTTGATATTTTCTCAAAAATTTCTGTGTGCAAAGTAATAAGAAATAAGTATTCCTAAACTTTGTTCATTTTGTTTTCAGGGTGAAAGAGGTGGTCGTGGCACTAAACACAGCAGGTCTGTAACAGTTTTATTATTTTATTGCAATTAATTAGTACTTGATTGCATTTACTTGAAATGCAATTTAATTACTGAAGTATATAATCTTACTAATATTACATTGTAATATTCCTAATAATGTTGCTGTCATTACATCTTTACTAAATTTTGAGATTGAATTTCATGCTATTCTTTCTGCCTATCATTATAACTTTCAGCAATGATGAAATTGTGCTATTCACTTACTGTTACGTATACATTCCTACGTCAATACAAATCACTGCAGGATCATATGAATCATACTACCCTCGCTAGGTTGTAGATGTATTATTATCTTTTCACATTCCCGTTTTGAATTCATACAGAGCCCGACAGTACTCAGATGAGGCTGAGGAGGCCAGAAGTGGGGATGAGGAGCAGAGTGGTGATGAGGAACCTGCTGATGGGGAGGATATAGCTCAGTCGGTGGGTTGGTAATCTTATTTCCCTACTTCCATACGTTCATAAATTACAGCTAATTTGCTTTTTTTTACTATTGCCCATGATTGATTATGTATCAAGTTTTTTCTCTAAAGAGTATTTTGAAGGCTAGATAATTTAATGTTGTTAGAATCATGTTTACTAGGTTTACAGTCAATATAATATTGCTTGTAATAATTGTTTTTAGTAATTTTTTCTCCTGAGTCGCAGAAGGCTACTAGAAGAATTTCTCTTAGTGTCATGTAAGGTCTTTATGAACTGCTATGTATAATTTACTCCCACAGTGTTTGATGAACTGTTCTTGTTCAGGAACGAGACAGTGAGGAAGATGAAGAAGATGAAGACAGGCCTCGGAAGAAGAAGCGTCGCAATGCAGTTGCTGATTATTTCCTTGTGGAAGCTGAAGTGGATGATCCTGATGGTGAAGAAGAGGACGACGATGAGGTTAGTAACGTCCTCACAAATTGTACTGGTTCCTGATGCGTGACTGTGATGATCACAAAGCATTTCTGTAAATTAGAATAATTGTTACCAATAGTATTAGTGGCTTATATTATCTGCTTTGGCGCTTCTACTGACATTTCTCATCTTTGCCTGCCATCAAAATAACTAATCATTGTTATGGTATCATGTATTACTCTTTGCCTTTTGTAAACACAAATGATTACTAGGTATATTATTGCTTCAAATGACATGGTAAAAATTCTGCTAGGACAAACAGATTACATATCTGACAGTGATATAGATAATGTTGAATAAATGTTTCAATGATAACAAATTTTAATCAATGTTGTTAAAGAGAGAGAGGGATTAATGTTAGGGATTAATATGTTTCCTTACTTTCTTAGTTTCCTTAGTATTTGTTCGGGACGTAACAGTCCCAGGCCACGATGGATCGCCGTACGAAATTTTATCCATGCTAAATGTCATTACTTGTTTCACCTGGTCAGGTTGAAGACTACGACTTGCTTGGCAATGAACGTGACGAGGTGGGCGTAACTGCCCGTGAGATTGAAGCTAGTCGCCGCGCCAGCAACATTTGGGAGTGAGTTATGTTCTCGCTAGTATGCTTATTTATTATCATACTCGCCCCAGATACTCAAGTGGAAAAGTTTTTGCCATCGTCTGTTTTTTGTTTTTAGCGCATTTTCTCATTTATGAAAAAAAATGCACTATTGTGCTCGCCATGTCCGTCTGCCTGTCTGTCTGTCCATCCGTCTGTCTGTCCGTGACCTCAAGTTTTTGTTGACGAGAAAATGCGCTCTCTGTCACTCACTGCAGTGAGTACTGAGATATATTTTTATTATTAATCCATGCTCTTTTAATTTTAAACATGCATCATTTATGCCTTAAAGTGTATATTTTAGCTTACATAATGCAGGGAAAATTTAATGAAAATTCTTAATATATTCATCTATGTAGGTATCAATCTAGTATCTATGATTCTCCCGTAATTGACTGATCATGTTAATTCTGCTACGACTATTGCAGTTTCAGGTTAAGAAATAAGAATTCGCTTACCTTTATTATTACCATAATAGCCATCTCTAACTCTTGCTCTTCACTGAATTCCTTAGACGTTATTCATTTTATTCAGTAAGTCACTGTTACAGGATAGCAACATCATCCAAAATGAGTCCTTAATAAGATCCAAAAGTGTGCGTGATGAAAAGACCAAGACATTTAGAGACTCGTTTGCTATTAAATATTTTATTGTTTAACTTCTCTCGCCTGATATTCAGCAATGAAAAGGAGGAGGAGATTGAGGAGTACTACAGACGCAAGTATGCCGAGGAGACATCCGCCGGGGCCCGCTTCGGCGTGGGCGGTGAAGACATGAGCGATGAGATCACCCAGCAAACATTGCTGCCTGGCGTCAAGTGAGTCTAGTACACTCGCACCACAAATATAATGCACTAATATTTAAATTGCAGCTCTATGCAATATACAATTAAAAATGTGAATATGTAGCACTGAATATTTTAAATGTAACTTTGATAATCGAAATTAACTTTGTGGATAGATATTCTCTGAATATGAAGATTCTTGATTCATCTCTTGACGGCACTGTTACAAAGCCTGAGTTTTGAAATGAAGTTAATGAACATAATGATCCTAATAGGTGCGCATTTCTAGGTTACACATAAGGCTAGTTGTATACTTTTTTATTGTTGTAAAACGAAATTTATTTCAGAGATCCTAACTTGTGGATGGTTAAGTGCCGCATTGGCGAAGAGAAAGCAACGGCGCTGCAGATGATGCGTAAATACATTGCATACCAGCACACCGAAGAGCCTTTGCAAATAAAGTCGCTGGTTGCGCCGGAGGGAGTCAAGGGCTATGTCTACATCGAATCCTTCAAACAGAGCCATGTCAAGCAGGCTGTGGAAGGTGTGAGCAACTTACGAATTGGTCTGTGGACCCAGACTATGGTGCCTATTCAGCAAATGACCGACGTTCTGAGAGTCGTGAAGTCCGTACCGAGCTTGAAAAAGAATGTTTGGGTACGTCTCCGGCGTGGCATCTTCAAGGAAGACCTTGCACAAGTTGATTATGTTGACTCAAGCCAAAACAATGTCATGTTGAAACTTATTCCACGCATTGATTACACAAAGAAACGTGGCTTGCTCAAGACGTCGCAAGGAGATGATAAACGTAAGAAAACTCCACGTCCTCCCCAAAAACTTTTTGATAATGTTGCCATTCAAGCCATAGGTGGATTGGTGACACAAGATGGTGACTTCCTTGTCTTTGAAGGTAACCGCTACACAAGAAAAGGTTTTCTCTACAAGCAGTTCAACATGAGTGCAATCATGTTTGAGGGAGTCAAACCGACACTAGCTGAGCTAGAAAAGTTTGAGGAGCAGAATCTGACTGATGTTGAGCTGACAACGGCTTCAACTGATGAAGAGTCGCATAACTTTGCTCCTGGCGATAATGTGGAGGTTGTTGAAGGTGAGCTGGTCAACCTCATGGGCAAAGTGACGCGCGTGGATGGAGCGCGTATTTACATCAAGCCTAATCACGAGGATCTTAAAGACGATCTTGAGTTCTTTGCTCATGAGCTTAAGAAATATTTCCGGCAAGGAGACCATGTTAAAGTGATTGCTGGTCGCTATGAGGGAGACACAGGGCTAATTGTACGAGTGGAAGAAAACCTCATTGTTTTGTTCTCTGATCTGACAATGCACGAGCTACAAGTGCTGCCACGTGACCTGCAGCTATGCGCAGATGTAGCAACTGGTGTTGATTCTCTGGGTCAGTTTCAGTGGGGTGACATGGTTGCCATTGATTCCCAAACTGTCGGCGTTATTGTTCGACTTGAGAAAGAAAGTTTCCAAGTTCTGACAATGCATGGAAAAATTCAGTACGTAAGGCCACAAGCCGTGCATAAGAAGAAGGAGAACAGACGAGCAATGGCTCTTGATTCGGAACAGAATACCATCCAGATTAATGATATTGTCAAGGCTGTTGATGGACCATACACTGGGGAGCACGGTGAAATGAAACACCTTTATCGCAACTATGCCTTCCTCTATAATAAAACTCAGCTGGAAAATGGAGGTATATTCGTTTGCAAAACACGTCACTTGCTTCTTGCTGGAGGAGGGAAAGGCAGCAGTGGTGTGGGTGGCCCCATGGGGGGCGTTGGTGGCCTCGGCTTCATGTCACCTCGTCTCACGTCACCAGCGCACTCAGGGTCGGCATCGGAGCGATCCGGAGGCTTCGGTGCGGGTGGCGGTGGAGGAGATCGTGGGGGCGGTCGGGGCCGTGGTCGAGGTCGTGGCGTTGGTCGGGATCGAGGTCTTATTGGTGTGACCATCAAAATCACACAGGGACCTTACAAAGGACATGTGGGCATCGTCAAGGATGCTACCGACTGCACAGTGCGTGTGGAGCTGCACTCAAAGTGCCAGACAATCATTGTGGATCGTTCTCGCGTTGCTCCCGTGGGTTCTACGAGCACTCGCTCTGCTGGCTCCTTCACTGCATCGCATACTCCTCAATGGGGTTCGCAGACTCCCATGTACGGGGTTGCTGGTGGTGCCCACACTCCCATGTACGGCTCTCAGACGCCTCAGTATGATGGCTCAAGGACTCCAAATTTCGGTTCGATGACTCCATCTCACGAACCTGGAAGTCAGACGCCTGGCAGGCAAAGTGCATGGGACCCGAATATCACGAATACTCCTGCTCGGTCCTCCGACTTCGACGAGTACTCTTATGATGAGGCGACACCTTCTCCTGCCTACAACCCTGGTGGTGGAGCTGGAGGTAACACTCCAGGATACCAAAGTGATGTTGGCCAAGGTCCATACACACCGGCCACTCCTGGCGCTGCATACAACAGTGATAACAACTACAGCCCTTACAACCAACCCGATCCTTCTCCTCAAGCCTACCAGCCTGGCTCGTCTCCGTCTGCGTATGCAGGCACTCCATCACCCGCCGGTACTGGGGCTTATCAAGCAACCCCTTCTCCCGGTGGGTCTGGCTACGCGTCGCCATCACCTCTTGCGTACAGCCCCATGACCCCGGGGGCTGCATCACCCTATACGGGCTCCACAGGCGTCGACAGCCTAGGCATGCAGGACTGGCAGAGTGTTGACATCGAAGTCAAGATTCGTGCGACGCACGATGATCCCGGTCTCAGCGGACAAGTGGGCGTGATCCGCAGCATCACCGTGAGTATACATGCTTAGTAATTTAAACGCATATTATTTTTTACACAAATTCAAATCATTGTAGCATTGATATCACGTGTCAGATTCTTGCGAATTATGAGCTTCCTATTATTTCATGCTCTAAATATAACTAGTGTTTCTCTCACACGTTTGTCATCATTTATCAGGGTGGAAACTGCTCCGTATTTTTGCCTGAAGAGGAACGTGTGGTCAACATCAATGGCGAACATTTGGAGCCTGTGGTGCCCGTGCAAGGAGATCGAGTTAAGGTAAAATCATGTTTTATTTAGTACACAATTTTGATTAAGCGTGAACTTGAGGAAACCGTTGTACACTGCGTTTGGTTTTAGTGTATACTATCCAGCTCATGAAATGAGCTTTGTAAATGCTTTTCAAATACAAATTAAAATATCAAATAATAGTTGTGACGGGATATTCACTAAGAGTGCTTGTGAATTGTCATATTAAAATGCATACGATTCTAAAACACGGAACATTGCATCGTCAGGGAAGATATTGAGCAAATAGGGCATTTTCATACCGTATGGTTATTCTAGTAGAATTTACCTCGGTCATATTCGTGTTATGTGATCTGCGGCGAAGACTGAGCAAATGGGGAATTTTCATGCTACAGTATTCCAGTCAAATATTTACTTGATCATATTCCTGTAAATCTAGGTGATCTTCGGCGAAGACCGTGAGCAGATGGGCTCATTGCTGTCCATCGACAACAACGAGGGCGTCGTCAACATGGACCACTCGGACCTGAAGATGCTGCAGCTGCGATACTTGTGCAAAATGAGCAGTCAACAACAGTAACTTTGCTTGTTCCATGACTGTTGCGGTGTGAAAAAATTTGGTGAAATGGATAGAACAAAAAACGCGTTGCTTGTTCTAGTACGTGCATAAAAAGCTCAAATTGAGTCATCTAGCTGCAGTACTGAAACCTCTTTTGTTTCTTGTCATGTTTTAAAACGGTAATTGATGAAAAATGCATGAATTACACGCATTTCATCTTAAAAAGTGCATAAACATATAAAACTCGTATGAATCTGACAACATTCAAGATACTTTTATTCTTATTATTATAATTATTTTTCCTATTGATGGCAAGTAATAAGAGTGGTAAAAAAATATAGAATGAACATACTTGAACTGTTTGAGAAGCTTATAGTGTTCTTATTTTGTTCGTTAAGCTATGTACGTCTGTGGCTCGATAATGACGTCTCAACCTCGGAATTTTCATATATCCAAAAGTTTTTTATGATTGTAAGATGGAATAGATTTGAAACGTATATATTGTACGTCAATCTTTAACATGGATTTAGATTATCTAAATAGATGCCGGAAAGACGTTTAGTTCCGAATTTAAATACATGTTATTATTTGTTACCGATAATTGGATCGGCACAATGAAGGAAGATGAGCAGCTGTGTTAGTCCGAGAACTGCTCCGTGAGCGTGAGATGTAACTCGGATTTTAAACATCTGTGGATAATTTCCCTATGTAACTCTTTGCTGTCACACGTCTTGATGCTTGCGCCGATTCACATGCTACTGAAGAATAAGCACCTGTCTCATACTACCGTTGACTAGTGAAGGTTTTGGTCATGCTGCCCATTAAGCTTTGAACTAACGAACGTAACTAGAGCTCTTGGAATCGAACGATGTCGTCATGTATATGCACAATAATATTTACTGCTTGTAATTACGTGCCTATCTCCTTGTTATTTGAGACTTATCAGGAAGTAATGGGAGGTAATATTCGGTTAACCTCTAGTACATGAAACGAATAATTCGATTAGTGTCCCCCAGCTAGCCTTTCTTTCTCGCACGATTCATTGCTTTTAGGAAGCCACGAAGATGTTTATACGTTATCATCCTTTGTTTTGTATTATTATCTGATTTTTTTTAATTGAGTGTGCGCAGTTAAGTGTATTACCTGGTTCGCTGAGAGTCTACCTTCTACCATTTGCTGAGAGTCTACCTCTACCATTGGCTGAGAGTCTACCTCTACCGTTTGCTGAGTGTCTGCCTCTACCGTTTGCATCGTAGGACTCTTGTGTCATGGCCTCATTGAATCGTACTTCGGTTTTGCTTAGTAAAATAAGTCTCACCACCGAACAGCTTTAACTACCCTAATGATTTGTATTGTTCTATGCGATGATTGATCCGTATCGAATCTGCAACTTTGTGTTGAACTTCACTTGGCGTACGTTGCCATCGTGATCCATAACTCCTTCCATGCATTAAAAATATAACTCGGTACTCATTACAGTGCTTGACAGAGAGCGCATTTTCTCGCCCGTCCGTCCTTGATGTCACGGACAGACGGACGGACATGACGAGCACGTTTTTGCCACCCCAAAAATTTTGGCACCCTAACATTTCCTTAGGGTAAAAAGTTGGCAAGATTGCAAAATCCAGAAAAAAGTCGCCACAATTTTTGGGGCAATTTCCCTAGAGAAAATTTCGAGAGGACAATTTTCCTTGGCCGCAGCCACGTTTTTGACCCTTCAATAGCTAATTTTTTTCCATAAATGAGAAGATGCGCTAAAAAATACATTTTTTGTTGCTTTGTTCAGTAAACTTGTGAGCTATTTCCAGGAGATTGAAAAAGTTATGACTTGAGCACAAAGTTTAATAATAGGCATAAAATACTCGGTCAAACTATATGGACGTATATCAAGCAGCTTGCCTGAACTCTCATTAATATTGTGACTTTTTTATAAATACCTCTCTTAAGCTTAACAACCTCCACCTAGAACTATGTACAATGTTTTTAATTAAAACCATATCAAATAAATCGTAAACTTCATGGAAGCGGCCGCAGGACGAACACAACTTATTGCTAATTGGCAGAAGAAAGCAAAATGATGGCTAATTCGCTACTTGAGATGCAGCAACACGAGTTACTTTGAGTCGGAACGTATTTCCTGTACTGATGGGCTATTCGTTAATTAAACTTATATATTAACATAAACGAATGTCCTATTTCTGTGGTGGAGCTCTGATCGTACTGTGGCAACGCGTGCATATGATTTTGATGCACGCTGTAACACTGGCATGTACGCAGCTATGTAATCCACTATAATCTTCAGATAATCTTGAGCAGAAATTCTTTCAACAGCGAAAAATATTACAACTAATTCGTGTAATATTGCAGTGAGAGACCATTGGCGATGTGGATAGACTATTACATCTGTATTTTTAGGGATAAATTCTACTTCAACTAAACTAAATTCTAAGGCATTTCCGTAAATATGGAAAATGTTTTTCTATTGAAAACATGGAACTCTGTACATTTATTGACTATTAAAAATGGCAAGATCAGTATAACCGAGTCGTGGGCAGCACCCACATCTTAGTGAATAATCCTTAGCAAACGAGTGAAGGGCAATCACTGAAATTATTATTGCTATGGTTGAACTAGTTCAGCCATGATTTTTGCACGCCTTATCGAAATGGCGAGATTGGTTAACAATTTTCAGTGAGGAATTCGGCGAAGACATCATAATTACGGAGATAAATTATGCAGGCAACAACGTCCAGGTCAAATTCAGTCATATTGGTTGTAAATTAAATAAGTATTTTCTCCAGGATATATCTAAATTAAGGTTATTCCATTAGGTTATTAATATTAAAATCTCGTAAATTTCTACGACGAGCTTGACAATTCCATGCTTATTTTAGATTTTTAGTACAACCCTGCATTTTAGTAGAATCGGTACAAAAATATTATGGCTTGCACTCATTCTCAGAATGTATCACGCATCTCCTCAGGGCAATTAGTCAATTTTCATAAAAACCGCTCATCAAACGTTTCCGAACAATTGCAATACTAGTGCGCGATCCCAGTTTCATAACGAGCTTCGTCGCACAATTATAAGAAGTCATGCTTCAGTTTGTAGGAACGTTTCCAAATTTCGCAGAGGCAAACCGTGACGTGGAACCTGTAGAAGATAGCGAGCGGCATGGAGACGTGCGAAATGATCGTCCAAGCCCAGACACCATAGTAGTTCAGGAGTGTAGGGTGAGCGTCAGCTCGACTCGTCTCAAACGTGCTTATCGCCCACATCGCCAGGTTGCAGATCAGCAGAAAAGTTACCTGAAATAAAATACGTATTGCTTAAAATATAATCCCAATGTTAGGCAAAATACAGGCATATTAATAACACTCCTCACATAACCGTGATGATCTATCGTCAGCGTATGTTGTAAACATGTCACTATATCCCTATGGAAGTTTCTACAAAATATCATTGCAGTACCAAAAATTTTATAGAATTTTGCCCAGCCAGAGCCGAGCTTTTTATCCTCGACCCAAAACGGCACCCAAAAATTTTCGAGTCTCGAATCGGACCGCGAGAGGGGTCAAATTTTGCGCGGTGAAATGAACAAAACAAGCGTTAACATAAAATTTATATGACAAAAGTTCTAATCAATTAATTTTTTACCCTAACTATATCAAGAAAAATTTCCACTGCGCAGTAAAAATCAGCTGACCATCTCCCTGCCAGGCTTCCTGTTGAGTTGGTCGTAGGTGTAGCAGCAGCGACGTGAGGCGTTCAAGATGAAGAGAGTCTGCAAGGTAGTCTGGACTAGCGTGATCACCGCCGTGAAGAACGGCAGAGCTCGCTGCGCCTGTAACGCGAAATTAAAAACCAAAAATTGGGATAATGAATAACGACTCTACAAACATTTAAAGTACGAAATGCTCATTACATCTGAAGTTGAAATACTAAAAAGTTTAAACTGAATGAAAAAAAAATGAAGATCGACATTCAGTCTTAAAATACCCAGCAAATTACGGACCAGGCAATAAGTCCAGCAGCTATCTCAATCAATCGTCAGTTATGGAAAGATCGGGTTCCAAAGGCCAGATCCCTTGTGAATCAAGTCACAATAAGAAGAATCCATTTTGAAGCAAGAGGCCACAAAACTGTATGCTGTATTAATATTTCTTTCAATTATGTTCATGTTTCACTCACATCTAGACTGAAGTTTCCACCGATGATGGTGAAGCAGGTGTAGATGTAGGTCCCGGTCTGAGCGATGAGCAGCAAAATATTGTCCAGCTCCAAGTCCTCGTGCTCGACGAATTCCAGCTCGCGCATCTGTATCATTCCTATCACAACCGTGATGATGGCGACACTGCAAACAATGGACTTGGTATTACCTTGCATAAATTAATAGATTTACAAAAATTTGAAGATATCACAAAAATTAGAGATATGATTGACGTCCCTTCAATTGAGTAGCCGATGAGCAACAGCAAAGTACTTTCACACCCAGCACCGATATCGTGTTATCGTGCTTTGTTGAACGACCTCATTCGATTATTCTAATCTGACGCTGTCGTAAACATTACAACAAGTCTATTTTATTTATTATCTGAACGCTGTAGTGTATATGCCATTAGCTGTCACAATTCAAAAAAGCTTCTTAGATAAAATCTCATTTGAGCAGATTACTTTGACTTTAAAACATGCTGAGTTCAAGACCAGAGAGTATTTATTATTAACTATTTTCTTATTGTTTTTCTAAATTCGGCAAATCAGGCTTCAACGAAACTTGTACTAAAGCAGCTTCGGGTAAACTACATCAATATTACTTTACCTGTAAACACTGAGCTCGATTACGTTGGCCTCCAGAACAGCGACGGATTTTGTGTTTTCGTTGTTGATGAGAACGAAGAAGAGGATAAGTGAGATGATGGTGAGCACCAGCACCAATATGCCCATGAAGAGACCTCTGGTGGCGTGAGCGCAGTCAACGGAGTAGTGGTGTCGTGCCTTGCGTGCGATGAACGTCGAGATGTCAGAGTCGCCGCAGTTACCGGACTGTCCGCTCTGCGACTTGTTGATGTTCTTCCAGATGACGTACAGGACACCTGCCCGAGCAACATAACTTGTCAGGTTTCAGTACAGCTTTCAGTAACTTTTACTCTACAATATGTTGTAACTTTTAAACTCAACATATACAAACGGACATGAATTTGTCGAAAGTTTTGATATTATCAGGTTATATGTATTTTTCTTTCGTATACTAGAATCTGAAACAAGAACCAACACCAGGGGCCACGGCTATAAACTAAAAAAACTGCGTTGTGACACATCCATGCGACAACATTTCTTCTCGCTTCGAGTCACCGACATGTGGAACAGCCTCCCTGATTACATCGTTGGCGCTCCGAGTATGCACGCGTTCAAGAACAGACTAGATAAAGCTATGGAAAAATATATGTTCAGACATGAAATGTCTAGCACCATATCGAAACCGGTGGAAGTCTAGTAGTTATTTCAAACTATCGTCGGCACTGAAAATAATCGGCGACAGGCCACATCAGGCTTACTCTTCAGCGCCGACATCACTATGCTATGCTATGAATGCGTGTTGTGTTGTATGAGAGACACACACAGCAGATCTAACTCCTGTAACCAAAGCAATTTACATTAAGATGCAATTTTTTATAAATCTTGCAGCGTTTTCAGGCTTTAAATGTTCGTAAAAAAGTTTTAGTATCACATCCAAGCAATTATTTTAAACGTTCTAATACGCAGACAGACCAGAACACAGCAGCGAGTATTCGATGGTGCAGGGGAAGAGGAAAGGCGACGCGTTGTCCACAAGTCTGCTCATCATGTCGGACTTTCTGCAGTCGTAGATGCTGCTCGAGTGCGACGTGTCGGCCGAGCGACGTACCACGTCGTGAACATCCTGCAAACGTCATCAGGCATCAACATCAGGTAAACATAAGCAGGTATCCACATCAGGTAAACATAAGCAGGTATCAACATCAGGCAACATCAGGTAAGCATCTGCAGGTATCAACATCAGGTAAACATCGTCAGGTATCAACATTAAGTAAATATTTGCAGGTATCAACATCAGGTAAGCATCGTCAAGTATCAACATCAGGTAAGCATTGTCATGTATCAACATCAGGTAAACATCAACAAGTATCAACATTAGGTCAAAATCTGCAGTCTTCAATATCAGGTAAAAATCAGCAGGTATCAACATCTGGTAAGCATCGTCAGATATCAACGTCAGGTAAACATCAGCAGGTATCAACATCAGGTGCAGGTATCAAACCTTCAATTGCATAGCGTTTCTGGACTTTCTGGATACGAGTTTTTCATTAATGCAGATATGATCCCCGCCAAATGAGTCTTGAAAATATCCAGCTTATTATTATAATGTATTTTTATTCAATACTGAGGTAAGTAACCCGGTAGAATGTTTATGAGTCGAAAAATATACTTCAAAGTGAAGCGTGTCGGTTCTAAAATCTGCAACTTTTCTTAGCCGGAGAAAAAAATCTTTTTTCTCCCGCTAAGGCCTGAAAATTTCGTTTTATTGTCTGAGAAGTACGAATTGTTTTCCAAGTAGAAAATTCCATGAATTAGAACTAAGTTTCTGGAATCGTATTGAATTTTTTTCAATTTTTTCTTCTTGCGAGTTGTTAGTCCAGTTGATGGCGAGAGAATGTCATTTATCGTTTTTTATTAATTCCAGATGTATTGCTTTATTTGTTTTTAATCGATCACAGTCATGTCCAGCACAACTATATGGCGATCGCTTTTCAATAACAATGATTGAATATTTAATCCTGTTATATTCAACAGCATCCACAAGCAGATGAGAGTTAATTACGACTTAGCGCACTTACGTCAAGAAATGCGTGGTGCTCTTCACTGCTGCCAGAGTCCATGAAGTCAGGCAGGACTGAGCTAACGTCAGGCCCATGTGTGGTGGTCAGGACGCTGTGGTGAGTCATGTTCTTAGCTGCGTCAGCTATCTGTGTCATGACGGTGGCCAGACCGTGGCCATAGAGCTCGTCGTCCTCCAACTTATCGCCGTGATGGCCGTCGCCATGGCCTGAGTTGGCTGGAAGTGTTCGAGTTAATGTGTAAAGCGTAATGTTACAATTATTGATTCATTCAAGATATCGAGTAATCACAATGTCTGAAATCTCAACATGTCGAACATGTTGAGCATTAATGAAACATTATGCGGAAAAATGGACAGGTGTTCATCGCATCCCCAGGTAATTTCATAAGCGAAAATTGGCATAAAGTTAGCAAAATATAACTCAGTACTCACTGCAGTGAGTGACAGAGCGCGCATTTTCTCGTCGACGAAAACGTGAAGTCATGGACGGACAGACAGACGGACGGACATGGCGAGCACAATAGGCATTTTTTCCATAAATGAGAAAATGCGCTAAATAACGAAGAATCTCTCAAACCTTTTGTAGTTAAGAAACTAGAACATACCATGTGTGATAGAATGTATCTCGTGCTTGGTCTCTTCGACAAGCACGTTCAACCAAATACAAAGGTTCGTGGCGATCATGTGCATGAGCCCGAAACGTGCCACGGTCCGATGTTTATTGATGGCTACCTGCAAGTCATTAGTAGAGTTTTGGTAAAGATTTACTTAAACTATTAAATAAGTAACGATAAAAAACGAGTGCATAACAACTGAATTAAGATTTCTAGAACTATATTTTATGCTTAATCTAGTAATATTGAAAGATAGAGAGTCGGAGTAAAAAGTTTATATTACTTCTGAGTAGATAATGGCAAGATCATTTACTCCAGAATCAAGGAAACAACTTTCACTAAATTTATAAAGTTTATATCATTGTTCTCACCCTGGAGTTGAGGAAGATGAAGTACATTTGTATGAAAGTGAAGAGCATCCTAGACAGCGGTGACACCACCATCAGGAGATCTGCACACTCCGCTGTCGCCTTCAGGTCAAAGTATTGCCCCACCTCCAGACCGCTGTAGATCATACTGCCAATCCCGAACACTGCACGCACAACGGGATTTATCAAGTGGGACTAAAAAATTATTTTCGATTAACGGTCCTTTTTGTGATATCGAGGTCAAAAGACAGCAAAATAGCATTAGTCAATGTATATGTACGAGTATTATGAAAAACCCGGACATAAGTTCTTCTAGCAAAATAATTGCCATTTTTAACAAAACGTTTAAGTTTTAACGATAAATCTGTCGGAGAAAGATGAAATTATAGAGTATAAACTTGTCCCGTATATCACCTTTTCGGAGGAATAAAATCAGCCTCGAAGACAAATAGTTCGTTGTGTGTAGTAATAGTTTGGCTAACATCGTATTTATTTATTACCATTAATTTTCGACAAGTACAATATTTGAGCGAGCAACTCACCCATAGCCCCCATTTTGAGGTACATGGACTCGTGAGTGGACTCAGTGATGGTGTAGTTCTTGTTGTTGTTAAAGGTCATCGTGGTGTTCATGGAGCGTGAATCATCGTTTCTGCCTCCACCGGAACGTTCGACGTCCGTCTTTGCGCTCAAGCGACCTCGATCTGAACGTGTTCCATGAAAGATTACCAGAGCATTATTAACCCATTATTCCACGCTATATTTCTACGGAACAGTATGAGAGAAAACAAATTATCCTGTTTTGATAATAAAAGCTTGTAGTTTATTTAGGCGGTGAAAAACGCTATTTAGCAGTAATTATTCATATAAAGAAACACCTAATACAATACATTTTAGGAATCATGCATTTAAAAGCCTTTTAGCGTGCAAAGCTTTTTATCTATCCAAATGTTTAAAACATGAAAATATTTACAAGAAAACAGTATACGAAAGCGCCACCAAAATCCTTTATATTATTGATGTCTAGAAACTCGTTTTGACTGCTTGGTCCCTCACAAAACATTTAATCAGCTTCGAATTTTTCGAATTTTTCGAATTCGAATTTTTACAACATTTTGTCCAGCTCTTGTGAGCGGAAATATAGGGTAACAAGTTCGATTATTTTTCAGCCATTTCGCTAAAAGTAAGGGAAAAGAGAGGGTAGGTACGAATTTTGTGAATTCAATTCTATTTCACTGTAAAACTATCATCTTGGTAACAATGACACTTCAGTGCAACTTCAGAATAATATTATTGAAGCGGTAACTCTGGCTTACAGCTTATGTGCTCAGTTACCTGTACAATAACTGTTAGATGTTAGAGTTTACAGATCTACTGAAAAGTCACTCTGGTGTCAGTGTAATGGTGCCACTACCCTAATGATTGACTAGAAAGAATCTAGGTAACATTTTAGAAATTACGCAACTCCTTGTTTATGAGCTGCTCAACAACAAATTTGCAAGACCATGTAACAATAAAGTTCAAACATATTCAGGGAGAAGGGCGAGGAACCTTTCACGTGAACGTCAGTTATACCTCCTTGAGCCAGGGGGAGAACACTAGCGGTGAGGCGTTGAGCGAGATTTGTGGTTGAAGCTCCTGTGAACATGGCATGCGAACAGCTCGTCAAGACAATTAAAAAGCGTTTTACTTGTATTTATTTATTGATATTTTTTAAATTTTTTGGCGTTGTAAAGACCTGCACTGCTCGTGGGCATCTCATTCGAAAAATGTTCAGAGATTTGCTACATTCGCGTCTCCTGTTATCCAATCTAAAGTTAAGCATAATTCGCACGAATACTTGTAAAGGGAAAATTATTTATTTATGATAAGTCTAATACAGGCAAATCAAGCACGAACGGGACATTCAGTTATTCCTTAAGAATTATTCACTTATCATTCAAAATATAATAACTTTACGTAGGTACTTGTGAAGGCAGCGAGATTTATACAATAAGAATAGAACGATTGCATGACATTTGCGCAAGAGGCAGACCATTACGGTCAGGAAAATGTTTGCGTAGGAAGTCGCATGCAGATACAACTTTAAAATGCTCTTGTTTAAATCTTCACTAAAAATTCATTGAAATTATCCGTGCAAAAGCTTTAATTTACAAAAGAAAAGTTCAAAGAGAGTCAAAAGGCTTCGGAAGCAGCAATATCAAGAAGCAAAAGTACGCAATTTAGGAGATATACAGCAAAAATATTTATAGATGATTTAAATTGGAAGTGCAATAGTTAATGAGATTCGTATCAAATATACAGCAAAATAGGATGACATGATGCCCTGAGGTAATGCATTTCAAGCACTCACTGAGATTCTGTAGTCGAGATTTGATTTCAACTTTCGGTAGAGGCACCACCTGCAGCAGGAACATGTATGCGTACACCAGGAAGATGATGGAACCAAGGTGCAGGTACAGGTAGAAGCCCTGCTCAAAGATTGATGATTTAAATCTCCGGCATTCCGGAGAGTGCAGCGCAGCACTGTGGCATAAGCTCAAAAATAATATAAGAAAATCTACATGGAGTTTGTTAGTGATACCTCAAAAAATATTATGGCGAATGGATGCAAACTTTTGTATAAACGTTGAAGGCAAAATTCATGTCTACGGTAACTTGGATTTTTTATTAAGATGACAATTAATCTAAGATGACGCAAATAAGTAATGACATAAAGGAAGATGATATCTAAGTCGGCTGCGATGAATATTAGCACGCATTTAAGACACAAGACTGAACAGTACAAGATAAGTATTTGTAGGAAAGTCGTGGAACAATAATAACTTTTTCAACGATACGCCACGAGCTAAGTCATCAAATGGGCTGACTTTCGGGTACTGATCTAAAATGTGTAGTGTGGAGATTTGTAAAATAGTTGAAGTTGCTTTGATGCAATTAAAATCAAATTGTATCAACTGGATGTATTTTTGGTGCAATTATTTATTATTGATTCATAACCAACATACAATATAGTTCAGAGGCAGATCATGGCTTGATCCTGCACTCGAAATCGCAATTCATATTGAAGCGTTTCTACTTTTGGAATTCTGACGATTTCGACTAATGACATTGTGATAATCCACAGTGGATTTTTAAAAACATTTTGATAATCTTTTTCTGCGGAGTCATTACAATTAGTGTGAACAAAAATTTAGCTTTGAAACATCAGAATTAATTGTGTTCCGAATCATAATAGCCCTCTAAAAGTGTCAAGCCGAGAGCCCACGTCTTACGATCTTCTCGGTTCATATACCTGCAAAACCAATTTATTCATACTAAAATAAGGCCACACAAATGGAATACGATGCGTTAAATTTTACAAATTGTTGATCTCATTCTCGCTCAAGAGAGTTCGCTCGCTACGTCTACACTACCTTGTAGACGTAGAGCGGCATCTCGCCTGAGATAAACTCCCCTATGGGAAAAGCAAGCCCCATGACCACGAGAATCTTGCCGTAGAGTGCAGACAGGCCCGAGATCATCGAGTCCCTGGTGCAAAAAAATGGATTTCAGTGATGAATGCGTGTTATTATACAGCGATAAGCTTTCAAACAAATAGAAAGTAGATGTTTATGAGTTTTGTATAGTTTGTTATCAGCATTGAAAAGTCACAGATATGTTTTAAGTTCCTGTATATGAGTAACAGCTGCAGCTTTGAACACAGAGCTAGAATTATGCGAGAAACTTACCAGATTTTCACTCTATTAACACATGTGTATTCACTCTACCAGTTCATGTACTTCACTCTACCAGCCCCAGTTTATTCACTCTACCAGCCCAAGTATATTCACTCTACCTATTCACTCACTCTCCCACATTAACATACTTGCCCTCCCTGCGCCAGTCGCCGTTGGAGGGCGCTAGGCTGTTCCTGGAGGCGCCGTGGCGCAGTGAGCCTGACGATGTGGCGTGCGGCAGCGCCAGCGGCTGGCCTACGTTGAGGCTGTTGACGTTACTCATGGAGGCGGCGTGGTGCATCAGACCGATCATGGAGCTGCGACGCGTCTTGCGCTGCAGGTTTACCTCCACTTCCGGCCTTAGAATTATTGAAATCGTTATTAATTTGGCCGTAGTTTTATTAAAATCGTTATTACTTTGGCCGGAGTTTTATTAAAATCGTTATTAGTTTGGCCGTAGTTTTATTAAAATCTTTATTGCTTTGGCCGTAGTTTTATTAAAATCTTTATTAGTTTGGCCGTAGTTTTATTAAAATCGTTATTAGTTTGGCCGTAGTTTTATTAAAATCTTTATTGCTTTGGCCGTAGTTCTATTGGAATCGTTGTTACTTTGGCCTTGATTTCTTTAAAATCGATATTAACTTGAACGTAGTTTTATTAAAATAAATATTACATTCGCCTTAGTTTTATTGAAATCATTATTAATCTGGCTTTAATGTAAAGCAAACCGTTATTATCGCTCCGGTTTAAGTACTATTGAAATCTTTATTAAATCCGTCTAGGTGGACTTAATAGAGATTTCAATATGACGTTAGTTTTAGTTTTAAAGAATTATTCACAATTTATTATCAATAGGACGTTAGTTTTAGTTTTAAGAATTGTTCACGATTTATCAGTGATACAAATATTCGAGTGGTCATTGCTTCCTAATTTCATTCATTATCTGAATATGAGAATAGATTGAGGCGATTCTTGAAATGTGAATAGTTGCACTAGTAATTGTTTCATTTAGAAGGTAAGACCCAAAATCTTCAGTTTATTGGCAAAAAATTTGCGCTAAAGAAAACATTTGCGCTAAAAAATTGACATATAAATATAAAAACATTATAATTTCCATGAAATACGTCATTCGTTTGCAAAGTAATGCAAAAGTTTCGGGCAAATAATATGAACAATTTATTGAGATGAAATATTGATGACAAATGGAAAGTCTACGGTAATTAAAACACTAACTTAAATATATATGTGTTTTAAATGTAAACCTTTCGTTATACCATTATTGGAGTGCAACAGTTTCCAACTAGCATAATTCCTAAATAAATATCATGGGAAGGCTCAAATTACTTACGATAGGTACGATGAAATCGAGTTATGCCGCGCCAATTGATCGCGTTCTGCGCTTGTGGGACCGTTAAATTCGCTCTGCACAACACGATATATTATAGTCCTATTGAACATGTTTATTTATTGACAGTATAATACACAGTGATTATATGGAAGTGATTAAAATATTTCTTTTATCTTTAAAAATTCAATACGAGTACAAATTAAAAGCAAATTTAAACAATTATTTACTGAGTAACAGAAGTTTTTGAATTGCCGCCACGTGTCATATTTTAAATTGAGTTGGTTATACATGAATATTTGACATCGTTTTATATATATTGTAAATAATCATGGATGAGATTTATAATTTTGTTGCCAGATGGAAACAAACCTTAGAGCCATCCAGATTTTCACAGCTGCCGAGACTTTTACTCTTGACCAGCATATGTGGTCTGTTGTTCTCGTCGCTTGACTTTTCAGCTCCGTCGTCCCGAAATTCTTCCTCATCTTCGGGGGTATCATCTGGGGAATCTTCATCCAGAGACACCACGATGTGGGGAGTGACAGGAGTGCTCGGTAGGGAGAACGAGGCACCCCCAGCAGCCCCATTCTCAACCGTGGTGCCGCTGTTACCATGAGCACCGCGGTGGGAGGATACTTCTTCTCCGACCCATCTTTAGGGAGTGAGAACAGGCAAATTAATAAATATTCACAGAGCAAGGACTTGCTATAAGAAAAATAAATTATCCACAAATCTTTCTTGTTGTCTCTTCATATTCACGAGACCTGTAAATGATGCGGGACATAAATCTGATATTCGAAATATAATCGCATGCATGTGGGCATCTTGTGCATGCGGCCTAAATATTCGGCCTAATTATGCAATTTAGAATTTCACGTTGCCGCAACATACTCTTTGCAGACGACACAGACGCCCATACTAGAGTGACAATTGGCGTCCGCCGAAAGGAAACGTCGGCGAAATCCAAAGCTTTTCGGATGGAACTGGCCGACAGCTTCGCTATCAGCTCGCTTGAGTGAACGCGTATTGCTGATAGACTGAATAGCAAAACTTTCTTGCTGGCAACCGCTGTTACCGAGGTTATGCGCCTTATTATCCATTGGACCGAAAGAACCTGTCTTCTTCAGAGCAGGTTTCTTTGTCTTAGTAAACTCCGGCCGCAAAATATTTGGTGATACTGGGACTGTTTCAGAAACGGAGCCTACATTTTTCCGGAGAACGAAGCGTCTAGATTTTTTCTTCATTGAATTTCCGTACGAAATTAGCTTAGCTAAGCCATCATCCGACCATTTTTTAGACCGAGTGCCCAGTACATCCAACTCAAACACGTCATGCCTGTCAGAAAATTGTATGGACCTCTTCTTTACGATCTCATTAGAGTTCATTATATCGCCGTTGATCAGACATTCGGTTGCATCGTCTTCCGCTGAAGCTTCGCACCCAGCGTCGTCCGATTCACTCCCGTCTAAAGTTTCTACGTCAGAATCGCTCTTCTTGTCATCCTCTTCTCGATAATAAGCACCACCACCTTCTTCATCAAAGATTTCTGACGCCAAGTCCTTATTCTGAATGCTTTGGTCGGAGTAATTTCTGCTACATTCTTCGGGAAGAGTTCCTTCATGATCATCCTGCAGGTCGCTTAAAACGCTCACCGGGGTTTGGTATAATTCGATGTCTTTCATAATATTACCCATAGCATTTTCCATAGAATGATTCCCTCCGAAAGAAGAAAGGCGCTTTAACGGTACATGTCGCAAATTCGATCTCAAGTCTACAGGCTGTCGAAGAGACTCGGGGAATTTCTCAAATGGTTCACCAGTTGCTCGGCGGACAGGAGAGAAAGTAAGTTCGTTTTGACCGGACGTCGATTTATATTCTTGCAGAGGATCTATAACATCGATTAAAGTTGGCAAGGAAATATGTGAAAATGGGAATGATTTACAGGCAGAACTTCCAATGATGAGCGCAGCATTGTTTTTGGCAGCGATTTCCGTATTAAGCGTGGTATCGTGCGAAGTTTCTCGATTGGAAGTAGGCAGAAAAAAATCTGTCTCTGTAGACTCATTCATGACTATGTTAATATCAGAAGCATTGAGAACCTTAGGTTTTAAATGTTGTCCATCGAGCAATTCATTGTTCATTTGCGAAGTCGGTTGAAGTTTCTCAGCGATCGACAATTGCTTAAGCGGGTTCTGTTCCATTAGTAATGAGCAGTCAGCTTGGCCTTGATGACAAAATTCATGAGGACGCTTGAGGGTCTCGTTATCTGCAATGAATGTGTGTTTAAAGTCATCGATTGAGCGGCAGGTCTCATTAACGTGGTGTAAATGACGCCTGGACCATCTACCGTCAGAATGGGCTTCAACAGCGCTATCGATATCAAGCTTAAACGTTGAAGACATTAATTGAGGATCTTCATCTTCTTCATTTATCTCTAATTTACTAAATTCAACTCCGTAGGTATTGGATAAACCGAGAAAACTTTCAGCATGATTTCGCTGGTGTTTACTTGCCGAAATAACTTGAGAACACTTTTCAATGGAAATGTTTGTTCCAAATTCGTCGACTCTTTCCTCTATGTCGCTAAGATTGACTGTACAAGGAATTGATACATTGTTGTAGCAACCAGAGCCTAATGTTTCACAGTCAAAAGAAAAATTCATATGACACTCTTTTTCTTCTTTGATGAATAAGTTTGGAAGCATTTTCCCAAATTTTGATCTTCTACCCAAGCTTCGTTCTATCAAATCATCATCTGGACAATTTTTGTCGGTAAAAATTTCAGAATAATATGCAAATGGTGTTCTTGATCGGGATTCGTTATCACAAGATCCTGCAGGAGAGAAGTCGCTTCTTGCTTCACCTGTTTGTTCTAAGGGAGAACCGATATAATCAATCGTAGCTGGTGACATGGAACGGGACTTGTATGTCATCTCTGAAACTGGATGTGTCTGTTGAGGAAACATCGTTGAATGACGTTCATCGGTCACGGTGGTTATTGTCGGTTTCTCATTGGACAAGCTTATGATTGCAGGAGATTCATAAGGGTTTGTCGTGATTGTTGTAGGTTCATCAGGCGCCAATTTGATTGCTGAATGTTCATCGGGAACAATCGGTATTGCTGGAGGATCATCAGATGTTATCGTGATTGCTGGAAGATCATCAGTTGTTATTGCGATTGCTGAAGTATCATCAGATGTTATTGTGCTTACAAGAAGTTCATCAGGCGTGTTTGTGATTGCTTTTTGTTCCTCCGAAGCATTCACTGTGGTTGGTGGTCCATAAGACTTGATTGACTGAGTTGAAGGTTCTTTAAAAGTGATCGTGACAGTTGAAAGTTCATTAGGCATGCTCATGATTGCAGCAGGATCAAGAGCCATGACCGAGGTGGCTACGTGTTCTTAGGAAGTGGACGTAAATTTGTTCATTCAAGCATAAGTAAATATAATAGTGCAGATGATAAAACTATCGCCGTAATAAAGAAGAAAAATTACGCCGTAAAATATCGCCGTAATAAAGAAGTAGATAATATTCTAGAACTGCACGACATGTGGCTAAAGAAGGTTCTGATTCGTAATCCTTTGAATAGTAACAGTTATCAACTATTTCAAATACAATGTAAATTTCAACACAATAATATTGATAATATGATGCAAACAACTTCATTTGATACACTACTTTTGTAATGAAGTTCATGAAAAGTCAATCGAAAAATCCCTAACACTTATTGATGTTAATGAATATGGAAAGTTGTTCCGCTTAAATCATTCACTTTCTACGATTTACTCAAACAGGTGATCATTATTTGCCATTGAAATATCAAACGAAGGCTTCATCGATTACGAAGTAAAATAGGCTTGTAAAATAATTGAAACTTGAAAATAATCGCGACAGGTGACGGCCATTGATGTGAGTTGCACGAACAACAAACGTTAACTGAAGCGCCGAGCAGCTGTTAATTGAGGTCTGGATGTCTGATCGCAGGCCGTCCAGCATAATTTTCGACGACGTACACTGAAACCCAAATTAGTAATAAATTGGTAATGTAAAACCAGAAAATTTATTCAGTGAAAACGAGTTGCTATGACGTGTGGTCATGTTTTGCAACCACACCATGATTCCTATCTCAAATCACAAGCATACATTACTATGTACCATCATTCTTGCACAAATGATTATTAATCTTAATCCATCACAGCACGAGGCAATAATCATTATAAGTTAGGCATTCAGAGGACGACTCTATGGTAGGTCATGCATCATAAGAGGCAGCTTCGAACGTGCAAAGATTTTGGGATGTTGCAGAAATGCGTCATGGCAACAGATTAATATTTAGAAAAATTATTACAACATTCTACTGTTTGATCGAAAATTTGATCTAGCTTGACGAGCGAAGTCCATGTAGCATTGCAATCGAGCAAGAAGCGGAAGGCTGACTCTTAATCGCGACGAGTCGCTTAATTACGATGCATATGGAGCACGAGCGGATTAAACACTCTAAAAGATCTCCAATGCATCTGTAATTCTCAAGTAGTCAACTTCAATATAAAATATTATAGCGTACATAATTTGCTTCTCTTACAAAAAAAATTCATAACGGGGATTAGTGGGTATTCATAACGGAGATGTGTAATTTGCGAGTTGGGGAATAATGCAGTTAGGCCACATACAAATTGAAAATATCCATGTTAATTTCGTTGCTACGAAAAACCTTCAGGAACCGCATCAAAATGCGAAAAGGAGGATCTACACTTATAATGGGCATCCGCGTCTAAAAAGTTACCTTGAATTTGTTCGAGTGGACATGTCGACGTCCATATTATCCTGAGATTATTCCTTTCACATCTAAGATTATTCCTCTCCGCTAAATGAACCGAGACTAATACATTGAGGCGTACAGCATAATCTTCATTAAAAAATATCGCCTTTCTGTGATAATTAAACGTTTGAATTAAATTTTTGCTATTCACAAGGCAAGAAAACTTAAACACATTTTAAATTGTGAAAGCGGTGAAATTACAAGCACAGTAATTACGAAGTTAAATACCGAAAAAGGGCGAAACAGCAAGGAGGTAACGGACAAAAATAATATAATAATTTGTATATTAACAAGTTTATCATTGGCGCTTGCAAAATAATGAAATAGTTTTATGTACCAAATTTTTATTCATGAACTTATGACCTATTCTGAATTCAGGCAATTAAGATGCGTAAAAGACACTTAGCATGATTTCATTACGCAAGAAACGTAGCTTTATCAAATAAAATAAAATGACGACTTTGAAGATTCTGCCAAATTGCACAATTTATCATCAATGGACAAGATGAATATTTTTTGAAAATGATTACAGCGTCCTGCAGTTGTGTTCGCGTGAAGCACTCTTACTTTGGACTACCGAGTTTGACTTGTGTACGGCCGAATACCTATATAGTTGCAGGATGCCTTCATTGTATACTTAATTGAGACTTGCCAAGTCGGACGGAGCAGGTGGCTAGCCACAGGAAAACAACGAATGTGTGCATACATATCCTGTCACACGTGACATTGCGAAGAGTCCGTGAGGCAGAACGTATAATCTGCCCAATAAAAATCTAAAAATATGAGCAGTTTCTAACGTAATATCATACGTTCAGCCAACGTTAGAACGAACG